CTTCTCCCCCCACCTCTGTGTCTGTATAAGCTCTCCCTCCCTCTCTAACTCAGATGATGTAGTTATTCAAAAACAACTTGAGAAAAACAAGGCTACTTTAAAGGAAATAAATAGTTAAAAAGCTATAACAACATTACACATCCTTACTGAAGTTACAGAGTCTCTAAACACAGTTTACAAAGAATGTGAGCCACACAGACTGAAAACAGATGATCAACAGACAGATCAAGCTGTATTTGAAGCTGAAAAACACATTTAAAGCCTTTTAACTAACTTCAGTTGATTGATAATTGATTGTTTTCAAGATGAGGCCTTTGGTAGTATCAAAGTTCATCCTCTGTCTATTTTTTCAAGTTGTTAAGCAGCCAGTAAAACAATGTGTACAACTCTGTACATTAAAGACCCACTCTAATGAAAATCATGTTTTTCTTGTTGTCTACATATTCACATGGCATTTTCTGATGCTACAGGACATATGAGAAAAATAAGTGCAAAATTGCATTTCTGAGTATTTCTGCATTCAACTCGCTGTGAACCTCTGGCAGAGCCAAACGGCAGGTTCAGACACAGTGAGATCCCACAAATGCCTGTTGCTTACTAATGTGGCACCATTTAAAACAGAAATAAACACAATTTAAGATTTACTGCCAAGAAGCATTGTGTCATCAAAGATATTATTTACCAAATGCTAATTTACTTACTTTTCGTGGGAAGTTTAACTCTTGTTATTGTGGATGTTTTAATTGAATTTGATCCTGGTAGGCTGGTTATGAATGTTTAGTCAGTCTTGCTGATGATTCTTACTACCTCTGTCTTGATAAAGTCAAGACAAAAGCATCTTGTACAAATTAAAAGTTGACATTTTCTCACTGAGAGTCACACTGAGACATCTCCTTTTAGTTGTATTTTTTGTCTTTTTGTAGGTGACATTGACATTTATATTTGGGAATAAAGGCCTGGAAAAGACAGCCTTTGATATTTAATGGTTCTGGCCTCCATATGCCCTTTACTTCCCGATAGACTACACCTTGTCAGGTACTTCCCAATAGACTACCACTTGTCAGGTAAAACTAGGACTGGGTATTGTCTGTGTAAAGAAAAAGCAAAAAGCATTGCCCTGAAGAGGGCAAAACAGCCATCCATTTGGCATTTACATGTTCAATTATTCACATGTTAAATCATTCACATTTTCCATCACCTGCACTGTCCTATAAATACAGCCATGTGATCTGTGATACAGCAGAAGAAAGTCAGTGGTTGTTTGTGCAGAGATTATTACTGTCGATTTCACATCAATCCATCCATCTATGTACACAGGTTATGTTTTCACTCTGTTTGCAGAATCTCATTAAAAAGTCTATTTTGGTGTAAAAGCTTGGATTGGCAATGCACCCATCTGCAGGAGTATCAGGTTCATAACGCACCTTTTGTAGGGTGACCATATTTTGATTACCAAAAACCAGAACACTCGGCCTAGCAATGAGATTATTAGGTGATACACAAAGTTTACTCAAAGATACCTTATAATTTAAATACATTGAAAGTATACCTCCTCTGTATGTATAGAAAATTTTTATATAACCAAATACTGTCTATAACCAAAGACACAAATTCAGATGGGCTTCTCAGAGTTTGCTTCACATATTTTATTATGACAAGTTTGAAAAATCACAAATTAAATAGGGGTAGAAATAAAGTCTCTTCTAAATCAGAAAATAAATACAACATAAATAAAGAAAAAATACCTCTGTTGTATGACCTATCCAAATTGAACAAAAATAGTTTTAACAAACTCACAAAAAAACTAACAAAAAATATCTATATCTTGAGTTTTCTTCCTCATCTAATGGCCCATATTAGTGGCCCAATGAAAAACACTGAAAACCAGGACATTTCCGTCACTGTATAAAACAACCAGGACAGCCAGGACAGGACATACACAAAGTACATACAGGGTCCCAGCCATAGTACTAGTCATCAAACATCTTTTTAGCTTTGCCTGATTTCTTTAGCAAAGAGACTGAACACAACTCACCTACTCTCCTCCAGCAGCCGCTTATTTGTGGGGGGAGCCCTGTTGAGTCGATCACTGAGATGTAGACTGCTTTGTATTGCTATCCTATGGCCGTTGCTGAGGTTGGTGTAACTAGAGAAGGAAGCAGTTGGCAACATTAATTTCTGAGTATTTCTGCATTCAAATCACTGTGAACTTCTGGTAGACCCAAACGCCAGGTTTAGGCACAGTGGGATTTTCCATGTCACAACTGCAGCTCCGCCCCCTGCACCCTGCTTTGTAGGCCAGACCCCAAGAAATAGAGAGTACGCGCAGCAGTGGATTGCTATGCTCGTAAGAAAGCTAATTATGAAATCAGCTTTTATCATGTTCCCAAAGATATTAGTGTCCGAGAGTTGAAAAGCTCCTATATTACCTGCCACTTCTGCTGCACCACCAATGTTAGGCTACAAGCTAGCGTGAAGAGGAGTGTGAAGAGGTGAGTGCAGAGCAGAGCTGTCTCCGCCCACGACTCAGCGGCAAATTGCTAATGAGCTACTGGAAGAAGATCAAAGTGGGACCTCAAAGACCTGCTCTGGTCCAACTCACCAAAAAACTTGAAAAGAAAATTGAGCACATCATGTAGCTTGTTCTTGTATAGCAGCACAAAAAATAAATGTTATCAATATTGTTGTGGTTAGTTCACTCATTTGTCCAGTCTTGGCGAGTCTTTAGATGGTGACAGAGGTGGCTTAGGCAAAGATTTGATGAAGGGCTTAATCCATGCTGTAGATCTGAAAATTACCAGGCTTCAAACAGTGATTTCCACACTAGACCTGCCACAGACTAGTGTTGTGCCTCCAAGGCCAGAATAACTACCACAAAATTATCAGCTCTCCTTCAACAAGTCATACACAGTTAAGTAATTTAGCATGGACTGGAGGGAAATATTCACTGTCACAGCAGAACCAGAAGGCTGTAAGCACCCACATTTAAAATGAAAGAAAATTCTTTGGTTACAAATACAAAGCTGCACTTGACAAAGGTTGATAGTCGTTTTACTATGTACTGCCTCAGTTAAAATTTCCACAGGCTACTTTCAAGAAATCACTTGAACTGACAGTCATAAAGCTGGAAATACCTGAACAGTAGGTTTTGTACCAAAGCAATAATTGGGTTTGCATGCAGAGAATACAATAATGAGAAATGGATATAAAGAAAGGTCTCCATTTGAGCCCATTAGGCAACTCCTGCAGAACATAACTCATTTAACTTGAGGCAAAATGAGTCAGGCTTGTTAGATTGGGAGTATTTGTTAGGAGGTAGCTCCCTTTCCCAGAGATTCAGAGGCTTAACCCGCCCTCTCTCACTCTGGCCCATAATAATCTCTGCAGCCCTCTGGGCAGAGCCCACCTTTAGGCTCCGAGATGTGTGGTGCATGCTGATATGTGTGTGTGTGTGTGTGTGCGTGTGCGTGTGTGTGTGTGTGTGTGTGTGTGTGGGCTTTAGCTTGCTTTAGTGGTGATGAGGGTATAAACTAGATACTAAGATGATACCCAAGACTTAAACTAGACTGGTTCAATAACAGATCAGGAGCAGGATGTTTACCAGAGTTAGTCAGACTTGATAGTTTTATACGTAGTTTACTATAAATAAACTATAATTTACTATAAACTGTGAAATTACTGGACAAGTCCCAAACTTAGCAAGGGTCAGAAAAAAACATCACTGTGCCATGTATTATAAACATGTAAGTGCATTTTAAATTGTAAAGACAATAATAGCCTTGTGGGACTGGGCAATTAAGTAAGATATCGCGTGTCCTTGCATGACACTGCTCGGTAGTATCTATTAAACGCAGGCTTTGATAGGTCAGTGCTTTCACTATCACGGTTGACTTTATAGACTATACTAGTATCTACACTAGATCCACAAGAGACTCCATCAACTGGTTTTGGTCCTCAGCAAAAGGTATGAAGGTATTATTTTGTATGCTGACTTGTCATCAGTAGTGGACATGTTGAGGCAGAGGCATTGCTCTTCTCTCTTAATGGAAGCTAAAGCTCAAATTTATGTTTGAGCTCAGAATCATAAAGACTGGTTCTAAAGGGACCATAGGCCCCTTTTAAACGGATTTATGGTTATTCAGGGTCAGTGACAGTGACCAACACAGACTGTTGGGTCTTTGAAACAAACCAAACTAAAGTTTTTGTTATCTGGATGTTGTACCTCCATCCTGCAGACCTTCGATTGCTCTGTTTCCAGCTGGCCTTCCCTGCAAACTGATAGAATATTGTCTTTTTCCCTGGTTAGCTTATAATCGGTAAATCTACTCAAACACCTTCCAACCTAACTGCTATTCTGTCATGGATTTTTCAACTCAGGAATATTACAGCCAGCATGACATAAAACAAGGCGGGGTGTGCGTAAGTTAGAAAGATGAACCACCTTGTAGTCTACAATGGGACCATGAGAGATAATGCAAGCACCAGCCTGGAACTTAAAGAGTAACAACATTTACATTTAATGGTTTAATAATTATCTATATGGCCACAGACAGCTAAATCAATCACTGTGAGCATTAACAAGTCTTGCCTGAGGCAAGAATCATGTGAGACAAAAATGTAATATCAGCTGGTGTCAAAGAAGAACAGGAAGCTGGTGATCTGGAAACTGCTAAGGTCCAGAGCAGACATCTATCTGTACATTATTTACATTATGATGGGATTAAAAAAAAGGTTTTCCCATCCGAATGAATACATGAACCCATCAATGTTTGATTTGTTCATCTTCTAACAGGCAAGAAAACAAAACAATCAGGAAGTTCCTCTGATCGAGACATGCCCTCAACACGGTAAATACAAAACGGAGATGCATGTCTGCTCAGGGCATCTGCAGAAAAACAGTAGCAGCACTAAGTTTGATTGAACTTTGACCTCACCAGGTATCTCACCTGAGGTAATAGTGTTCAGCTGATCATTGGCAGTGCAAAGGTTTTCATCAGGTGTCAGCCATATGCTTTGGGATAATGACACAATTATAGTGGTGCCGATGTTCAGTGCAACCCTGTCTTGTGTGGTATTGCATAACCAAATGAACATGACTTGTTATTCATTCATTTTAGAAGTATTTTTAACATACTGATGTGTGTTTTGTATATTTTTAATGTCAGTTTCTAATATCCAGTAATAATGTATCTTTGTATTTCTATTTTTGGACGATTGAAAGCCAATGGACATACCTGAATAGGTGTCACCACCTTCTGTTGCAGAGGCGTACATGCTTCTATTGATGATTTGATGATTTCCTAGTATATGTAAATTGGGACAAGGACAGTAGTCTAGTTAAGTTGCCTAATTAGACTATATCTGTAGCTCATCTTAACTGTGCATGTAAATGTATTGAATGACAGCTGATTTCTTGCACAGGATCTGTGTTAAAGGCTGTATGCTGCTGTTGCAGCCTCCCCAAACTACAGGTAGATGCTGCAGGCTTTTGCAGCACACACAGTTGTGCTAAGGGTTTTTTTCTACACATATTGGCCCTCATTTATCAAGTTTGCGTACGGCAGAAAACTCGCGTAAGCTGTGCGTACGTGAGTTGCAACGTGAGGATCAGCATTTATCAATCTGCACGTGAGCGTACGCTACGACCAAATCTCAAGACAGGTCTGACATCGTGTACGCAAGTTTGTGTCAGTGTGGATCTGTGGTATCGCAAATGTCTGTCTCAAAATAATTCATGAACAGACCTCAAACCCGTCACTAAGCATAATCACCCAGATCTCATTAAAAAAATTAAGACGTAAATACATTAAAATAAAATAAATTTGTTATATCCTTAGTGAATAGGCCTATTTGATAACGCTGCCCAAAAACACTGCCACAGAGCAGGAGCGCTGTTTTAACATTACGCACACACACCACTGTAGTGTGTTGTGTTTGACCCTAAAAGGCATGTGTCTCTGTCTTGGCCCAGCAGCAGGGACGTTGTTGCACACTCCTGAAAGGGTGTGGGACATCATTTGAGCCAGTACAGTTAGGCACAATGACCCGATGCCCGGAGAACAATAACGAGGAGAGACTCCACATAAGTGCTGAACAGAGGAGACAGGACCTTATCCATGGATTCTGATGTAAAGTATAAGTTTAGGAAGTGCTCTTGCTGTTTAATCAGTGATAAAAATCCAATAGAAATCCATAAAAATGTGCCTCAGGGGCAGCAACACACTGTTTGGTGACATTAATGACCATTTTTGTTCAGCCTCTGTCAGACTCTCCAGTCTGCTCTACATTACAAAGACGCAACAAATTAAAACTAAATACTTCCAATGATAGGAGCAACATACCCTATGTGATGGCAATAAAAAATATGAGGCATGTATGAGATATTAATTTATCATCATGAGTAACTTATTGACTAATGATTTATTCAAACTTCAGCCACTGTCCACTATTCTGCAGCAGCGCTGTTCAGCGCCACCATAATCCTGCTCCAGACAGAAGTTTTCTGGACTGCTTTTATTCCAGTTTTGATGCTTCCAAAGAGAAAATCCTTGTCAGTTTCCACCACAGATGTGAGGATATCCACTTTCAGCTTGGAAAAGTTTCAAATCTTTCTAATATTTCTCCTCTTTCATGTTTGACCTCAGTGGGCGAGGCTTCTGAACCACGAATATTTAAGGGCGTAAACATGTTAATGACGATCGATTTCAGCCGCCGCATTTATCAAGACCCGATCATACGTACGCTGGGATTGGTCAGATAGGAATCCTTTCATAAATCTCACGTGTGTCCTATCGTACTATGAATCCCGTGCTCAGATCTGCGCTCAGATCTGCACAAGATTGATAAATGTGGGCCACTATGAGAGAGAAGAGGTCCCCCCTCCTGAACCTGTCACATCAGTCACATTGCCTCTACCTGTCCTCTGTAGGTCCCCTTGGTTTTTGATTGGGACAATTTTAGTCTGAATCAGTGATTCATAGTAATTAAAGATATACCGGTCTTAATCTACATTCAGGGGGTTGGTGTGTATTGTCCCTCCCTGCCCTCCTCAAACCTTTAACACCACCTTCATAAATCATCGTTAGCTCACTCTGGCTATTGCTTAAACTTGATCAGGGTCTAGTTGAGGTAATTATTTAAACCTACATGAAGCTCAATGGCTGCTGATGCCGGAGAGCTCACCTTCAGTATTTAAATCGCTCAATAAAACTGAGGATGAGACTGTGTTCAGCTCAGTCTGTCTAACAGACTGAATGTGGGTGCTTTTATTTTGAAGAGTAAGTCAGGTCTGCAAAGAGTTCAAAGCCCCTGATGTGCTGTTAAACTTAAACCTGGAATGAACAGCATTGAGAGCACCTGTAACAGACTTACTGTGATTATCAACTCCAATGTCCACAATTATAGTTTTGAATTGCAAGTAATTTGACTGGGCAAAAGTAATTTCTGGGCAAAGACTAAAACATGACTTTCACTGAGTCATTCATTATCTAATATATTCTATAAAAACAGCTTGGAAAATCCTCCTGTGTGTGGCGCTGTTCCAAACAGACGACAAATCATGACCTCATGTAACCCCTTCACACAGCCAGACAGCAGTGGACTATCTGGAAAGATATGTCAAATACAAAACCCAATTCCATTCAAATTAGGAAATTGTGATAAAGGTAAATAAAAAAAGAATAAAATGATTTGCAAATCCTTCTCAACCTATATTCAGCTGAATACACTACAAAGATAAGATATTTAATGTTCAAACTTATAAACTTTTTTTTAATTTGCAAATAATAATTAACTTAGGATTTCATGGCAGCAACACGTGCCAAAGAAGTTGAGAAAGGTGGCAAAAAATACTGAGAAATTTGAGGAATGCTCATCAAACACTTATTTGGAACATCCCACAGGTGAGCAGGCTAATTGGGAACAGGTGGGTGCCATGATTGGGTATAAAAGCAGCTTCCCTAAAAATTCTCAGTCATTCACAAGCAAGGATGGGGTGAGGTTCACCACTTTGTGAACAACTGTGTGAGCAAATAGCCAAACAGTTTAAGAACAACGTTTCTTAAAGTACAGTTGCAAGGAATTTAGGGATTTCAAAATCTACGGTCCATAATATCATCAAAAGGTTCAGAGAATCTGGAGAAATCACTGCACGGAAGCGGCACGGCCAGGAAACCAACATTGACTGCCCGTGACCTTTGATCCCTCAGGCGGTACTGTATCAAAAACCAACATCAATGTGTAAAGGATATCACCGCATGGGCTCAGGAACACTTCAGAAAACCACTGTCAGTAAATACAGTTCGTCGCTACATCTGTAAGTGCACATTGATACTCTACTATGCAAAGCGAAAACCAATTATCAACAACATCCAGAAATGCTGCCTGCTTCTCTGGGTCCGAGCTCATCTAAAATGGACTGATGCAAAGTGGAAAAGTGTTCTGTGGTCTGACAAGTCCACATTTCAAATTGTTTCTGGAAATAGCGGAAGTCGTGTCCTCCGGTCAGAAGAGGAAAAGAACCATCCGGACTATTATCAGTTTTGGAGCAACATATGCTGCCATCCAAGCAACATCTTTTTCATGGACGCCCTTCCTGCTTATTTCAGTAACACAATGCCAAGCCACATTCTGCACGTTACAACAGCTTGGCTTTATAGTAAAAGAGTGCAGGTACTCGACTGGCCTGCCTGCAGTCCAGACCTGTCTCCTATTGAAAGTGTGAGGTGCATTATGAAGTGTAAAATATAACAACAGAGACGCCAGACTGTTGAACAACTAAGGCTGTACATCAAGCAAGAATGGGAAAGAATTCCACCTTCAAAGCTTCAACAATAAGTCTCCTCAGTTTACAAACGTTTATTGAGTGTTGTTAAAAGGAAAGGTGATGTAACACAGTGGTAAACATGCCCCTGTCCCAACTACTTTGGCACGTGTTGCAGCCATGAAATTCTGAGTTAATCATTATTTGCAAAAAAAAAAAAAAAATCAAGTTTATGAGTTTGAACACTAAATATCTTGTCTTTGTAGTTTATTCAATTGAATATGGGTTGAAAATGATTTGCAAATCATTGTATTCTGTTTTTATATACGTTTATCACAATTTCCCAACTTCAATTGAATTGGGTTTTGTAGAAAGCAAGTTACTTAATTACCTCGGATTCACTCACAAAAAGCTGAATTTTTGACGAGACAACATTTCATCCGAGTCGTGGAGAGCAGCTGATCAGGTCGGCTTGACTGGCCTACTGCTTGACAAACAACATCTTTAAAGGGTTAATGGTTGACCAAACTTGCAGAGACCCTAAATTGGGTCAGAATCTGCTTTAAATTATAGTGTCCACCTGGATAAAGACTTCAGCATCTCACTGAAGCTCCAGACAAAGGGGACCCCACTGGCCAAAGTCAAACTTTTCAGTGAGTTTAAAAAAAAAAAAATACTGACTCTATTATTGTTATTGAACAACTGAATGGTAAACTGAGTTTTTAAAATAATTGACTGTCTCCACCTCTTGAGATCAATACATCTATCTTTGCTTATCTAACTATCGGGTTTGCATTAACCACAGGTCTTGGTTATTTTATTGGTATTGGCAGTCAGGTATATTATCTGTTATCAGTACAGGCTTAAAATATTCATGTTGTGGATTTCAGTCTGCTTAATTTAATCATTATTCTCCACTCCATCAATACTACATTTCTGTAAATGGTAAACACCTTGCTTAGCAGGAGTAAGTCATATTTATTAGTGTTGGTTTTGCAGTTTCATTATGATTGCGGCTGAGTTGAGCAGATCTACAGGGCAGATACTGTTGGGGGTTAAACAGAGCTAATAATGTGAAGCAGAAAAACTAATGAATGAGCTGCTCACCCTCAGGTAGATAGATGCTGGAGTTAAGGATAAAAGCAGCAAGGGCAGAGTAACACACAAGTTTATGACTCTGCATGTGTGTGTGTGTGTGTCAGCCCTGGTGTGTAGATGTGTGGGAACAGGTCACACACACACACACACACACACACACACACACACACAGGACCATACATCAGGTGTCTTTACAGCCAGGGCCCATTTCAAAATAGCCTGGTGGGTTAAATATCATTAGACGCATAGTGAAATCAGTTTGAGGAAGGCTTTCAGTCTAATGGACAACAAACACACACACACACACACACACACACACACACACACACACACACACACACACACACACACACACACACATCATGCCAGGCCTGCCAAAAGGCTATACTTTGTCCATCTATTTTACCCTGAGTGGGTGAGGCTGCTATGTTTGTGTGTCTGAGTGTGTATTGTAAGTGTGTGTGTGAGATGGGGATCAGTTAATGGAAGCCTAAAGGACACATATATTATACCACTGAGAGGGAGAGAGGCCATCGAACACTTCATAAAATATAGAAGAAGAAAGGCCTTTTGCTCTGCAACATGAATACTGAAAAGAGACATAAAATAAAGTGTGTGTGTGTGCGTGTGTGTGTGTGTGTGTGTGTGTGTGTGTGTGTGTGTGTGTGTGTGTGCTGGAGATGGTATGAAGGAGAAAAAAAGGGCAAGAGAGGTTACCAGATGGGAGAGAGAGAGAGAGAGAGAGAGAGATAGAGAGATAGAGAGAGAGAGAGAGAGAGAGAGAGAGGGAGAGAGTGTAGGGGTATAAGGAGTATTAGGAGGAAGACCAGACTACAGCCAGGGACACTTGTTACGACCTTGGCTGACCTTACAGTGGTGGGGGTGTGCTGATGATGGGATTTATTGGAGCGCCTGAATAATCCAGCTGGGTAGCTGACACACTGACAGAATAGAAATAGTCCGAACCTTCAGGAAAGAAATGCGTCAGTCACCTAAGGTTGCTGTTTAAATTCAGCCTTCAGTGGGTAGTTTCACCTGTGCACCTGTATCATTTACTCTCATTCAAGGAGACCTCGTTATTTTATGTTTCAAACTCAGAGATATAAATTAACTTCACATACAATCCAAATCAATAAAATCAATAAAATCCCATCCTGATGCCTGCCCAGTTGAAACCTGTAGTCCATCAACATTGCCAACACATTTGGTTAGGCTCCCATAATCAACAAGCCTCAAGCTCTCCATGGACAGGCACCATCATGTCATAAAGTCACTGAGAACGTTTTTTTTTCTTCTTTTTTTAAACTAAAAGCATCATCAATGGTCTTTAAATTGTGATTATAAAGTTTTTAGCCAAAATCACATTACCTGTCATTTTTGAGGGCTTTTCTTCTGCAGCACTTCAGTACCTCTTTAGCAATTCACCCCTGCATCGTGAGCAGAGACAGCACTGCTCTGCACACTCCTCCTCACATTAGCTTGTAGCCTGAAATGGCTAATGTAGTAGAAGTGGCAGGTAATATAGGAGCTATTCAGCTAGGACACTAATGTCTGGGGGCATGATGAAAGTTATTATCATAATTACCAGTATTGCAATTCCCTACCTCCCACACTTGTCCCCCTCTCTACTTCTCCGAGTCTGGCCTGCAGGGTGGGGCCTACATTTGATGTAGGTAATCTCACTGTATCTCAACTTGCCATTTGGGTCTGTCATAGGTTCACAGCGATTTAAATGCAGAAATACTCAGAAATGCAATTCCACACTTAGTTTGCTAATGATTTGTCCTGTAGCATCAGAAAAATGCCATATGATCAAGAAAACAACAAGAAAAACATGAATTTTATCGGAGTAGGTCTTTGAAGAGAGTGTAGTTCCCGATTACTTTTCCAGCTCACTGAGGTCCCTCTTAGTTATGCTGCTACAGATTCTGACTGCAGGGTGTACTGGTACATAGAGCACCTTACCTTCCTTCTCCATCCTCTTTCTGTCTCTGTCATTACCTTTGAATCATCATGTCCCATTAGAATAACAAACACAGTCTTCTGAGGGAGTCCCTGAGCTCCATCATCCAGTAGGTTCCTCTGGATCACAGCTGCAGACGTTCCGCTGCTGTGGACCTCACTGTTTTCAGCTGCTTCAACTTCAACACCGGTCTCTCTCTTTCTCTGTCCCCCTCTCTCCCCTCTATAAACCCAGCTCAGTCTCAGCAGATGACTGTCATCAGTCTGGTTCTATTTAAGGTTTCTGCCTGTCAAAGGAAGCCCTTCCTCTTAACTGTAACTTGCTTGCTTCCTGTAAATATCAAGAAGAGTTTGGTCTTGTCAAGCTCTTTTTGTTCAGCATGTTGAGATAACATTCATTGTGAATTTGCGCTTTTTAGATAAAGATGATTGATCGATTGATTAATTCTATCTCTCAACCTATAAAGTTGCCAATGGTCTGGCATTTTTAAATGATCCCTTCTACCCATCTTGAGCAACATGCTTACAGTGTGCAGGCCTACCTGTGGTACCTGAAGCCTCTTAAAGAATTATAGGAGGAAGAGCCTTCAGTCATTAGGCCCCTCACCTTATGATTTATATACCAGTCAGCGTTCAAGAGCCCTCTCTACCTAGACACTTTCTCTTTTGATAAAATTATAGACAGGACTGGTTCAGGCCTTGACTTGGTCTTAGTTATACTGCCTTGCTTTGACTGTGGGGGATACTGGCACTTTGTCTGCAATGGGTCTCTGACTCTCTCTTGTCAGAGAGAGTCAGAGACAGAATTTCAATCTTCCCGGGAGTCCCTAAGCTCTCTTGTCATGTAAGTTCTTCAGTATTGTTGCTGAGATGTCCTGCTGCTGTGGAGCTGCCTGACTCCAGCAGCTACAATTATTATCATTGCTGTTATCATGCTTATGTTCATTTTAGATCAGCAAGACTCCCACTGTTTTAATTGATACTATCATCCCCACAGCCCTATTATCATCATTACTGTGAATTCTAATATTGGACCTGTTGACTGTAACTTCCATTATTTGCGGTCCCTGCAAAAGGCACACATCATTACCTTTAACATTCACACTGTAGTCTGTCTGAGCTGCTGTTTGATCCCTAAACCTTTTTGTTTCTTTTGTCTGTCCCTCTTCCGAACACAGTCACTGCAGATTGTGTTTGCAGATTGGTTTGTCAGCATGAGTCTGGTTCTGTTCAAGGTTTCTGCCTGTTAAATTGAAGTTTTACCTTCCAACCACCACTTGCCAATTGAGATTGAGGAGTGTAACCAGGTGAGTATTTGTGTATCTGGTGGCTACACTAGTTAAATGTTTTCTTCGAGGTACAAAAGTGGAACTCTCGATTGGCCCCATCCACTCTAGTGTGGAGCACCTGGACCTCCACACCAGCTATATAAGCAGCTTCTCCCATAAAGCTCTCTCCCATGCCAGACCAGCAATCTACCATTTCTTTTGTTAAATGTTGTGTCACACTAATCTTCTATTAGGGTGACCATATTCTGAATCTCCAAAAAGAGGACACGACTACGCGGGGGTGTCGCATGTAGTTAATTTTGAGATTTTTTTGGGGGGTTGGATTGAGTATTTTTTACACGCTTCTAACTCAGTTTAGGTCAGTGTTGTTTTCGTCAGGCAGGATGAAAACTTAAATGATGACGTCAGACCCCTTTTTTCCTTGACGAAAATGAGACTAGGACGAACGTCACCAAAGCTCTGTAAAGACTAAAATGTGACGAAAATTGTATTCATTTTCGTCAGACGAGAACGAGACGAGACTAAATTGTTATAAAGTGGACGAACAAAGTTTCAAAACATGCTTTTTTTTGTCCTTACAGTCACGCCCCCATCACACACGCACCAAAAGCCTCGCTCGCGCACAGCTGCGCGCACACACTCATACACATACACAGAGCGGCAGGTGGACAAGGCGCGCACACACACACACACCATGGCGGCAGGCACAGCAGCGGTGCCCGGTGGCTGAAAAAAGAGTGATGATTTATAGTCCTACTTCAGATACAGTCCAAGTGACAATAAAACACAATGTCTTGTACGGGGATGGGGAGACGAGACAGACGACAGTTGTGGAGCCACAGCTTCCTCATGCTGCGGCTTCAAACTGTCGGGAAAGAACACCACGAACCTTAAAGGCACCTGAAGGCCAGCCATCCTGCTATTTATGAGAAGGTAAGTTGCCTGCAACAATAAAGCATTATACTAGCTTTAGTTAATGCTAGGCTGGCCTGTGATACATTTTCTTTTAAGATTAAAGTTTTGTGGTGGTGGTGATGGTGATGGTGGTGGTGGTTACACCTCTCCCGTCGTGCAGGTGAGACTGCTTCCTAGCGCTACATGCTAAAGCTAGAATGAATGGGGCTTTTCCCTATCGTTAGCAACACACGTGGATGCTGTAACTTTAATTAATAATAGCAGCTAAAGCCAATATGCAGGGACACTGTATGCCATATAATTTATATGTTAGGTATATAATTTATATATAATAACAAAGTGCAATATATTTATGATAATACTGTTGCCACAGTTATATCATTCATACTGCACTTTAAACTGTATCTTAAATTACATACATATTACATATACATAATATTGTATATCTGTCTTTATCTGTAGGCATTTAAGGTCTAGTGTGTACTTACTACTGTATGGTATTAAGTGTATTTCTTTTGCCGATTTGCCCCCCCCATCTAGATCCCAGAGACCATAACCCCAAAGAGCAAGCCAAGTGGAGTGCAGACCTCCATAAAAGCATTGTTTGCAGCTGCAACTAAATATGGGGAGAACTCTCAAGAACAACTCAATAAAGAAATGGCAATTGCTTTATGGATCGGTCGGACGGGGCGTCTTGCTTCCATTGTGGAGGACGAGGAATTCATCCTCATGATGAAGAAGTTTGACAATACACTGACCATCCCAAAAAGAACTAAAGTGAACAATTTAATTGATAACATATACAATGATGCAAAACAAAAATTCAGAGAGCAGCTTGCCACAGCACAAAGGATCACCATTGGCCTGGACATATGGTCCAAGAAAGGCCTCACGGCCTCATTTCTTGCCATCAGTGCCTGCTACTATTGCCAAGAGGACAAAAAAGCACGTCACATATTATTAACTCTGACCCAGCTCACTCACCCACACACGGCAGAGAGCATAAAAACCTGTGTTGACCGGTGCACAGAAGAGTGGGGTAAACCGCAACACAAAATACTGACAGCCATAACAGACAACGGGAGCAACATGGTAGCTGCATTCAAATCTGTCCAGGAGGAGGAGAGCAGCACAGAGGAGGACTCCCAGGAAAGCGACAGTGAAGACCCTGTGCTGGCTACAGACGAACAGAGGTCAATTATTTCAGTTTAGCACTCAGTCGCAATAGATGTTTGTTTTTTGTTTTTCTTCGCATTCAGCTCAGTGTTATTTGTTTTTTTTTTGTTGTGTTCTCGTCTTTTCCTATAAAGGTATGGAGCGATGGCGAGGACCCCCTGTGTCGTTCACATGCTGCAGCTGGTGGTTAACATGATAAAAAAAGAAACAAGTGTTAAACGACTTCTAGATATGGTCCATTCTCTGGTGAAGCTCTTCCGAAAATCCTCCGTAGGAACTGAGCGGCTATTGAAGGAGTGTCAATTAACGCTGGTCAAAGACTGCCCCAAAGATGGTCGAGCACCTACTTGATGATCTCCCGGCTTCTCCAAGTAAAGGACTCTGTCGTCAAAGTTGCTGATGGCATGACCTGGGACTATCTCCTGCCAAGTGAGTGGCAAAAGCTGACCGCTGTCAAACAATTGCTCCTCCCCTTCACTGAGCATACACAGATGCTCCAGAGCGACACACAGAGTCTGTCCCTTGTCATTCCTGCCCTTCTTGACCTACAAGCTCACCTGTCTGACTTCCTCCATGACCAGGGTCGTACCTTCAAGGACCTAGTGTCCTTGGCAGTAAAGATGAAGGCAAACATAGACCAGCGATTCAGCTGCTTTCTCGACAGGAGCACTCCTTACAAATGATAACGAACAAATTCAGGAGATTCAAAGCAAAGCACAAGATGACATTGTTCAGTTGGTTCCACCAGTAGTACGAGGGGAGGAGGCTGAGGAGGAATCGGGGAAGGGAGAAGGAGCAGCAGAGGCACCTGAACCAGACAGAAAGCGGTCCAGATTCAAATATTTGTCAAAAACAAACCGACCATCTAGTTCTAGCCGCCCAAAGCCGTGTGTCAGGCAGGAAATGTCTTAACTGAAGAAGAGTCCTCCCTAAGTGCCCTTGACTTTTGGGTTGCACAGTCAGATTATGTGTATCCACTCCTGAAACCTGTTGCCTTAGATCTTCTCGCCATGCCTGCCTCTCAAGCATTTGCTGAGAGAGTTTTTAGCGTTACAGGTGACCTCAGTCGTGGCCGTTGCAACAAAGCCAGCGAAATTTTAGAGAGAAGTGCTTTCCTCAAATTGAACCGGTAGGCTACCTAGGCTACCTAGGCCAGGTTTATACTGGCAGCCTAAATCTGGCCTGAATCAGATCTGTGTCAGATCTACAAGCTCCAATGTTGATGTGACCCATGTGGAGCTTGTATATCTGATCTGATCTGGCGCAGATCTGATTCGGGCCATATTCAGGCTGCCAGTGTGAACCTGGTAGTGGCGAGTTGTTACTTGACTAGTTGCATCATAGTACATATTCTAGCGCTTCCATGTTGCTTCTGTTTGGTTGCCAGAAATATCTATGTAGAGTTGGTTGCCTTAAATATTTGCTTATGCAGAGCAGTTTGCCTTAAAATTTTTGTTTTATATATGCAGAGCTTTATTTTGTTTGATCTTTACATATTTGGAAAGCCATTCATGGCCATGTTGGGATATTAATGTCTCTATAACTTGACTTGTGGTTGTGAAACGTTCCCCTGCTACCTCATGTGAAGTCGTGTGCTTTATTTTTTGTTTTTGTTTCATCATATTGTGATACAATACTCATATTGTGTGCCTCTGCAACAAAATAAAAGAAAAGATAGAGAAAGAAAAAAGACGGGGGGGAAAAACAACTCACCTTTTGAAAGTTAGATCTGTCTCAGTGTGCTTCATTATAATACCTGTATTGGCCTATTAAATACATACACATATGTTATGTATAAGTATCTTTGATTTTTGACTAAAACCTTGAGTTTTTGTTGACTAAAACTAGACTAAAACCTTTTTGAGTTTTCGTTGGACTAAAACTAGACTAAAACTAACAGGGATAGAAATGACTAAAATGGGACTAAAACGAAGAAGCATTTCATCAAAATGACTAAGACTAAAACTAAATCTAAAATGCCTGCCAAAAACAACACTGGTTTAGGTCCATGCGACACTAACTCAAAACTTTCATACAAAACCACGGACATTTGAAGATTTGATAAACTCCCCTAGACAAAGCCAGACAGGCTGGACAGCTCCACAAAAAGAGGACACGTCTGGGTAAAAGAGAAGGCATGGTCACCCTACTTCTATCCCCTCACCACACTATGTTCACACAGTAACATGCACTCTGCTGATCTTGCAGACCTTACACACTGCATAGTTTACTATTGTTTATCTTTTTCTTAATTTAAAGCTCCTATGATGAACTTTTGGTTTGTGCCGATTTTGTTTTGTATGCAGTTACAACCAGTAAACATGTTTTAATTTATCCCAATCACACACTACTCCCACAGCTACCAGAAGCCATTCAGTGTCAATTGACATACCTCAGAACACTTTGGTGTAATGACAGCAGGAGTAGGGATTAAGCTGCCAACTTTCCAGTACAACTCGCTTGTATGTCTATTGGAAGAGAGATACAATTCATGATGATACAAGATGTGCCTGATTATTTCCTGACCCTTAGGACCAACCTGACACTGAAACAAACATTTCACCACAGTGTTAACAGGCAGAGGTGAATGTGTAGACCAGTTTAATATGACATCTATGAACATGTTGTTCCTGGCATTTCTTTGGTTGTTGTGATTCCTGTTGTTAAAAGTTTGCCCAATCAGAATCAAGTATGTAACACAACTGGGCAATGATATTCCGAAATAGAGCATAAATGAACCCAGGGGAAAACTGAGGAAAGTTAAAAATACCCAAGCCTATGACTTTAGTAACTTGTCTTCTAACGGTGTATTTCTCTAACTAAGAAAACAGGCTTTTCCTCTATGAATTCACACTTTTTTTAAGGTAGAGGCCTAGTCAACATCCAGGCCTCAGAGCTGACAATCTAACTGCAGCATCTGACAAGACATCAACCTGCAACCAGTAATTTCAAAACTTATTTCCTAACTGTATCATTTTGTTTCCTCCTTTCCCTCTGCAGATCGTTTTTTATCATATATTGTTGTTTTTTCTGCTCTTCTTAGACTATTCCTCCTCTTCTAGCTGTCTCTTGGGTGCTTCCCTCCTCATATTCATGCAAACCATGTGCACACGCAAACACCAGCTAATGCCAGCATATACCTCTGCAGCTCTCACTCTTTTTCCGGCTGGCTCTTTTCTGACTGACAGAGTATTAGGGAGGTGTGTGATTGAAAGGGGGAGGGGAGAGACGGTCACCTTGGGAGCACCACTTATTGACTGAAAAGGGAATTAGAGGAGGATGAAGAAAGAGAAGCATTTCACTCTTTTTGGTGCTGTGATGTTATTCAAGGTCAAACAGCAGAAAACTGGTAACACATTTGTTGCTGTACAACAGCTTCTCATACTATCAGTGTCACTTCTACAGCTGCCTGTACCACATGCACCATTTCTACAGCTAGTGTGGCTGTTTCTGCTACTAAAATAGACCAACAGCTGACTAAAAGGTCTTCAAAATGCAAAGAAGCAGTGAGCGACTGTATATATCAAATAATTATAGAGCAACACTTGTAATTATAAACCAGAGCCCTTTTACTGCTGCACTCTGAAGCTATAGGCTGGATTAAAACACCTGTATACACTCATTAGGGCTCTGAAACACACTGCTATGGGGCTCCAGTTTAAAAAATGTGGTTATTTAAAAGTTTCCTCCTGATAGCAGGTTTGTAATAAAGGCAGTGGAAGGTTGTTTAAGTAAGGATATATTTGTTGTAACAAGTGTTTTTGTAAGCTAGCCAACAAGGGTGACTTATCTATAATGGGCTAAATCTCCATTATAGATAATACCTGCTGCATATGCAGAAACAATGCAAATTCAAAGACACATGCAGATGTTAAAAGCAAATGCTGTGACAGAAATGTGCAAAGGAATGACAAACTGAGGTGAAGAAAGACACACAAAAAAAAGAAAAAAGGAACAGCACAAACAACAATTGTCCCGCAAATGGACATAAACCAAAGAACTGCTGCTGGATGAAGACTAATGAATGAGATGTGGAAAGGACCAGGATTTCAAATGATTGTAAAAATGGAGAAATTGCTATATTTAACGACATGTAGGCCAGTTTCCAGGAAGTCTAATGCAAGTCTGACTCTTATTGGTACAGGGACACGGCAAAGGAACAGTAAGAGAGTAAGAGAAGTGAGAGGGAAGTCTGAGAGACCTGTACAGGGGTTCAGTGTTGGCAGCTTCAGGAAGTCTAATACTAACACCAGCTGCATGGATAATATATGTGGCTATGTGGCATTCCTGCTTACTCAAAGCCTGACACCTTTGTGCCGCTGAAGGTGTCATAACTGGGATTCAAAGCTCACACAGCTGTACTTCGCAGCTCTGACTTGGACAAGCCAACTCTGCCTAGTGTCAGTCTAGGAGCACAGCGACATACTTAGATGGATGTCTATAATGAAATAACAGATTACTGCTTTAACAATTAATATCGATGTTGCGATGTTGACATGTAGTTACTGTAAGACTGGTTTGTGCTCAAGTCCTCTTTTTTCTGTACAGCTCTGTTTTTAAAAGTTATTAGGAGGTTCATGTTTTCTATGATTGACACTTGATACAGCCTATGGGTGTACAAAGTTCACATAGCTCACCCAGGGGATACGCTGTTTGAGCAGAGCGTCATCAAAGCAACTCTCCCGCCAAATGCGTACAATGCTATTGTGCAAGTGGTGGTTTCAGGAAGTGGAGAAAATTTCTGGAAATACCAAGAGCAATACGGCTTCAAATTTGTATAAAGAGACTGTAAAGAGGCCAGTTTCTGTAACACAACTCTGATACTGTGGAGCCATGCTGCTGTAATACTGACAAGACAACACACAGAATTCTGTTAGGCCCTGAAATATGAAAGGTGTTCCCTCAAAAAGTCATTACCTGGGTTGCTGTATACGTTGCATCAACACCTGTACATGTTATTTATTATTAATGGTGCCTCTACCCTTACCACGGGCACTCACAGTTCCCTCTATCATCACAGATGCTGGCTTTTACTGTGTGCTGATAACAAGCTTGGTGGTCTCTGTCCTTTCGAGAGGGGAGGACTCTGCATCAATGATTTCCAAAAAAGAATATCAAATTTTGATCAGTCAGACCACAGGACAGTTCTATACTTTGCTTTCTAGTAATTCAAGATTAGCACAGACTGAGGCTGTCGTTTAGAATTAATCGCGGGTTTCATATCCTCAGATGACCATGAACTCCACGGGACACAAATGTTTAATTAAAAACAGAAAATGCAAAAGCAGAAAGAAAAACTATGAATTGTTCACTCATTAAAAAAACACTGTCAAACTTACACAACACCAGAGAAAATTCTTGTTCATGTGCAAAAATCAATATAGTTTAATTTTGTCACTATTTCATAAACTGCTTTGAGTCTGAGTTGTACCTGAGGACATGGAGGCACTGTACTGTATCTAATTTCCTTGCTGTGAGGAGCCAGGATTAGCTTTGTGCTATAAAGCATTAAGGCTACAGGGGAGAGATACAGGCACACAAGGTGTAGACATCTGGATTAACACTGGATTAAGTTGTGTTGCAGGTCTTTCCAGGTCACCCGTGTGCTGGTGTGTGAGTCACCTTCCCCTGGAGGAGGGAGGCAGGTAAGACCAGGTAAGAAATAATTAAAGATGCATATAAACCTATGGGAGTCACTGCCTTTAAAGTGCATTTTAAAATTTAGCACACATACACATTTACCAGATCACATTTTTTCATTGGAAACCCTAATTAAAGCCCGAGGGAGAAAACAGCTTTTCTGATACTTTCTTTTATCAGAGTGTCTTCTCTTCCTAATGGATGGATGTTGAAAGTGGAAGTTTTCTCATTCAGAACAGCCACCAAATTAAGAAATGAATAAATGCAGCAGGCTTAACATGTGGTCTAAAGTCAAAGCTCAGTAGTGCAGAACTTTCCTGCTATCCATCCATCCATCCATCCATCCATCCATCCATTATCTTTACCCCACACACACACACACACACACACACACACACACACACACACACACACACACACACACACACACACACACACACACACACACACACCTATCTGAGTGATATTTTATAACTGACGATCATGTTTTTCTGCTTGTTTTGTTTAAAGATAGACAGCATTGTACTCACTCACAAAGATATTACAGTAGTTTTCTTTAATGGGGCTTAGTGCTTAAGGTTATCTCTGCCTTCATTATGGTATGACTCAGTCTGGGGCTTATCAACTGATTCCTGGATTCCTGAGGATGAGGACACCATAAATGATACCTCAGCATGTGGCTTCTTCACCTCAGTCCTCCGCAGGCCAAAAATGTCAGACCCAGCTCTTCTGCATACACCCTCACTCTATAATAACCAATCAAACAAATCTCTTTGGCCCCTGTGTCTCACTAAGCACCCTTAACTAGCAAACTGTGGTAGGACATGCTCTTGTTTATTTTAGGCCATGTACTTTGGATTGTGTGATTCAGATTGCCTAAATAGGGATTTCCTCAGTGGGTTAAACTGGCCACAATACTATAATACAAAATTGAGTCTATCAAGATCAGATCTGGGTCTACTTTGACGAGAATAAATATGAGACAGTGTGCTCAAGATTATACTTCCTCTACTTTTACTGCATCTTCACTCTAACATTACTTCACTTTTCTAGGTAGTTATAGCAGAGGACATATCTGAAAAGACTGCCTTTCAAAATATCAACAATAATCATCCCTTTAGTTGGCTCTTTGGGGCTCTTATTCAGCATAATGACCTGTCTCTGGATGTGTTTTCTTTGGTAGTCACTTAGTATAATAGTAGTGTCTCTAACTGACTGCACCAGCTGTCATAAATGAATCATCAGAAGAGCTTATCATAATGTGAGGTTCCTCAGACGGCAGTAATGAACACCAACCCCGTCACTGCCATGTACCAGCAGAAAGGAGCAGAAAGAAGCTCTGTGTAATTGGGAGTCTTTTAAAAACTTTCTCTTTTAAATGTTGAGAAACAGACTGTTACCATTATCAGAGGTAGTAGGTGGTGCAACCAATGCCAGAGTCTAAAGGCTCATTTATGCTCGCCATACTTATGAAAATGTACACGCCCATTTAAAATGATGGTTCTGTCACTGCCCACGTACTTCCATGCGTCCTTTACATTGGCATGGATTTTTACCATTACATCCACCAGGGGGCAGACCGGATACAAAAGTTTCTGACAGCAACAAACAAAAAGAAACATGGTGGCTGTGAGCTAGTGATAATGTATATTTTGCATTGAAGATAGAAACGGAAGCAGCATTGGAGGAGACGGTGGTCGGTCAGGCCATTAAATGCCTTGTGGTACATATGTTTGTAATTACGTACCTGCTCACACAACCTTTTCTCAAAAAGCCCTACCTACGTCTTCTCCGTTTCTCTCTAGAGATGAGTATCTGGTAGTGACAGCAGCAACACTGCCCCCACAGTTTCCGGTGGTACTGCTCCATCTGGCCTGTTTCCCTAAACTTCAAGGGTTTGTGTAGAAATACAGACAAAAAGAACACAAAGCACAGATGGAGAGCTCCTTCTGTGTCTGGATACGTATCAAACGTTGAGCACAAATGAGTCTTAAGAGCGAGGGACAGCGTTTGTATGATTGTTTTTCCAAATTTTCCTCGTTTTATTGCCATCAATTTAAAAAAAAGATAAAAGACTGACATGCAGCAGAAGTGTGGGAATTGATCCCGGTGTCACTCGCTTTAAGGACTGTTCCTTTGTAGAGGGGGGATGCAAGGAGAAAGACTAAAACTCATAGAGGACAGACAATTTTTTGGTAAAGCAAAATCAGGCATTTTAGGCCACAACAATCACAAAAAAAGCCTGCAAATTCCTAGAGGGGCTGAATAGGGTCATCTCCGTTTGAGCAGGATGATTGTTTAGACTGTTCCTTGGCACTTGTCTCCCAATGAATACTTAAGCAGCACATGTTGTCAGAAACAAATTAAGTGCAAAGACACTGAGCAGGCAGCAGCAGCAGCCTTCATGCAGCCTGTGTGGGCATTGCAACAATAAGAGCAGCAGCTGTTTAGTGTGGCAGTCATCACCTGCTTTGAGTAGGACTCACAACTGGGGAAAAACATGGTTTTAATGATGAAAAAAAGTTTCTTTAAGTATCTCTTTTACTGTTTTAGAGATATTTGAAAGTTTAGTGGAGAAAAGGGGGAAAGGGATTTTTTACACACACTAGATGTGGTTTATGAACTAGAGATGCTTTCATACAGATATCAATGAAATCACTCTAACTCCCTTGCCTTTATGATTCATTTATCAGAAAAAAAGACGTCATACTTGCAGAAAAAGTGGAGGCAGAAGAGAAGAAGAAACATTGATTCTAATTTATATGTACTACGTCTTTAATCTATTTCTCTCTGGGCACTTTAAATGTGATTATTACATTAACCCTCGGAGATCCTTCGTTTTACTACACTCAATCAGATCCTAGCAGGTCAAATTCAACCCATACGGGTTTGACTATATAAAAGTGCAATAACATGACAAAATCACACAGATTTGGGTTTCATCTGCTTTGCCAACATCAGATCAATCTATTGACACCAAGTTTATACTTATTGGTGGAATTTTTGGGCAGCATTTATTGTTATTATATGAAATATGACCTAATTTATAATTGAATAAAAACCGAAATCATAGATTATGTCAAATACAGTTCAAGCTTTTTTTGAAATTATATGATGGATTATCAAAGACTGGAATATGTCAAAGCTCTGTGTAATGTTTTTTAAAATGCCATTTCAATGTCTTCAATTGCAGACAAAAATAACAAAATACTGTCATGGCTGACCTTCACGGGTCAAATTTGACCCATATGGGTCTGACTGTGTAAAAGCATGATAACTTAACAAAATCACACAGATTTGCATTCCATCTGCTTCGTAAACATCAGACCAATCTATTTACACCAAGTTTATACTTATTGGTGGAATTTCTGATCACATTTTAGCTGTATCAATGAAATATGACCTCATTTTTTGAGTTTCGAAAAAACTGAAATTTTGGGTTATTTTGGTTTAGGCCTTTTGTAGAGAACAATATGTCAAATATTGGATATAATGTTCCCAAATGACACACAGAGAACAATGTACCGACTGTTTTTATTTAGAAAAAAAGTTACATTTAAAAGACACATGCCAAAGCACAACTTGATAAGAAAATAAAAAACTGTGTGTGTGTGTGTGTGTGTGCGTAAGTGTGTGCGTGTGTGTGTTACTACTGCCCCTTAGAACTTGTCTGCTTGAGAAACAGGACCCTATAATGACTGTGTTTGTTACATGCAGGTGTGACAGCGCGTACAAACAACAGCATGGGTCGCACACAGGAGGGCCTTAGACTCGTCACATTGCTTTTTAGTTTTCTTGTCAGGCCCTCTGCAAAACCAGCACCTCGCCCTTTAGGTTGACGGAGTAGGTGCAAGATGAGAGGGACCCTTGGTGAATCTTGATCTCCACAGGACATCCATCACCACACTTGCAGAGGCTGTTGTACGTGGCAGGTGTTGGTGGCACTGGACCAAAGGGGTCAGTAGAGACTTCCCTATGGAAAGCCAAGTGAGTATTTATTCGATATCCATGATATCAGTGATATCACGTCAAAAATATAAACTAGTTCACTAGTAAGCTGCAAAAACTCTGACATGTTAACTAGTCAACCATGAATAAGGTTTCTAGTTAACTAGTGCAGAAATTGCATGATACGAGTGCACTAGTGAAGGACAAAATGCTCTCTAGTTAACTAGTGAGGGCAATATGCTAACTAGTTCACTAGCATTTCTTTCCCCTACTAGTAAACTAGATGGGTCCAATGTTTTTACTATTTAACTTGTAAAGATACAGTATCATCTAGTTGACCAGTACACCCAATTCCAGTAGCACTAGTCAACCAGTGGGGCTAACATGTATACTAGTTAACTAGTACTTTTAACATGTTTACTAGTACTGAGAGTTTTGGCCTTACTAGTTAACATGTGAGGACCAGCATCGTAGGTAGTTGACTAGAATGTTTCCTTGACCTTATCAGTGAGCTGGTATGTCTGATATTACGAATGCTTACTAGTTAACTAGAATAATAAAAAATGATCTAGTTAACTAGTGAATCTCAAATGTTTACTAGTTAACTAGTGCAGGGGAAAAAGGCAACAAGTAAACCTGTGGCAATGGAACGATGCAGGAGGAGGGAAAGTGGGCAAGGATTAATCTTTTATGTGGGTCTCCTATTGGCTTTCAAGCCACCCAATTCAATTTTAACCATTTAAAACCTGGTAAAAATCTTGCTGCTACTCTCCCAATTGAGTTCTGTGGAGATCTTGGTGACAAATATGAAAAATCTTTCTAAAAGTAGGCTGCTTAATCTTCCTATCTGCCCAGATGAATCGTAGGTTTCCAAATAAATTCTAAAGAAATGGAGAGAAAGGCGATACACGGCACGCTTAGTAGCTTAGTAGTTAATCATGGAAATAAGCACAGATCTGAGCACAGGAATCTCCGTACAATTGGACACACAGATTCATGAAGCCGTCGTATCTGCCCAGTCCTGTACGATTGATCAGGTCTTGATAAATGCGGCGGCTGAAACTGATCATCATTTCATGTCACGTCCATAAATATTTCTGATTCTGTGGCCGTGCCCACTGAGGTCAAACGCTGAAATGAGGACCCTTAAGAATGAAGCTGCACAACTTTTCCGAGCTGGAAAATGATCTCCTCAGGTCTGAGCTGGAGGTAAACGAGGACGCGCTCTGAGGAAGCATCAAAGCTGGAAACAGGAGCCCAGAAAAATGCTGTCTGAAAAAGATCACAGCAGCAGCGGACAGCGTCGCCACGGACCAGCGGACACCGGGGAAGGTTTGAATGACATGTTGTTATTTAGCTGAAGGTAAAAATCATGGTCAGCATGCTGACATGTTAACTAGTTAGACCCCATTTGGACCTTATTAGTAAAATAGAGAAACTAAAAAAGTTTGCTGTTCAATGAGAAAAGGTCATTGTTGCTAAGGGAAGTTAAATTGGCCTCACTGGTCAACTAGTGAGGGCAAAATATCTACTAGTTAACTAGATATTTTGGAAATGTTCATTAGGTATGTTCAGATGCTGACTAGTTAACTAGTAAAGGAGATTCAGACTTACTTAACCATTACTTGCCCTTACTAGTAAGCTTGTACAGGTCAAATGATTCACCTGTTAACATGTAATTGCTACAAATCTGAATTTTCACATTTCACATTTATGTAAAGGTCATCTAACTAGTTCACTAGTTAAGTGGAAATGCTGATAGGCATTTCCACTTATTGTTATTCTCCTGTTTCTTTATTATTATTATTAAGTGGAAATGCTGATAGGCATTTCCACTTATTGTTATTCTCCCGTTTCTTTATTATTATTATTATTAAGTGGAAATGCTGATAGGCATTTCCACTTATTGTTATTCTCCCGTTTCTTTATTAAGTGGAAATGCTGATTAAGCATTTCCACTTATTGTTATTCTCCCGTTTCTTTATTATTATTATTATTCTTCCGCCGTTTTTCGTCCGCTTTCAACTCCTTCCCAGTTTGTGCGATTTCAACCGTTCAAACTTTAAACTATTCCACTCCTTCAGGACACGTTTGCTATTACTTTTCACTTTTCTAACATTTATACTTTTTGTTTTTTTTAACTTTTTGTGCAAAAATTTTAACATTGAAGTCAATGGGGAAATCTTCCAATTCTTCCTTTTATTCTTCCACCTTCTAGACCTTATAACTTCAGCATACTTTCACCTAGAGACCTCATTTTTGCTTTAAAATGTTCATTCTCTTGTCGACTATTACAGTTGTACTCAGTTTTTTGATATCTCTTACAGTTTTTCCACAATTTAGCTTTAAGCAACTTGTGGTTTTCAGCAAATTTCAAGCTTTATAATGGGTGTGTATTGGAGAGTTTAGAGTGATGATGTCATCAGCTAGAGTGCAGACCTCGTCTCTGATCGACAGAACCTCGCTCGAATATATCGCTCCCACGCCCACAAATCTCACTCCACTGACACAAATAATACATCAAAATGGAGGTATATGTGTCCTGCTTCTCACAAAAGAGGTTTCGAATCATTAAATCATACCCCTTGGCCAGCAGGTGACCAACTGTCCAAAAAAGGCGGAAATCTCTCCCATTGACTGTAATGTTATTTCTCTCCAAGAAAATCCGGATCATCGCTCAGGCTCAGACTTTTTTAACTCGCTGTTGTGGCCTCATTTTTCGAAGTACAGACATGAAAAACACATCATTGTGTTCATGAAGGACGGGGGATTCGTACGATGTTCTTATTTTCATTCTGGGACTTAAGGAAATCACGCTATGTGAAGAAGTTTAGAGCCTCTAAATCCTCAGCAGTTCAGCTGCTTCTCATTCAAACAGTAGGTCAGTGATTTGCCTTTGATCTCACAGCTGTTTAGGATGCAGTCATTAACGAGACACACACACACACACACACACACACACACACACACACACACATTCTTGTACTTGTTGCATTGTCAGGTCTACCTTGCAGTTCAGCTGCTTGTACACACAGTTAATATGTGTCTGCTTCGCCACCTATCTCCACCCACAAACTTTGAGCTACAGAAACCATTCTGGGCTTCTAAAATTCAGCTCATTGAAGATATTATGGGGTGTTTTGAGGATTGTGATAATAAATTGTATTAATGTGTTTAGCAGAGTCTTGTGTTCTCACAAGCTCCTTATCAGGAATAGATACAGAGGATGAGTGTCAGGGCCTACTTGGAGTCCTGTTTCCTTAGCTTCAAGCCTTCTTTCTCCTGCTATAGTTATGCATCCAAGGTCCCCATGGCAACCAATTAGTGCACCTGGAGACACACAGCTGACTGGAAAGCTGCTTCTAATGGCCATATGAGACACATGAAGCCAGGCTCAGCACACATAGCACTGGGGATGACACTTAAAACCCTTTACTAGAGCGCTTGAAAAAACTTCAGCCCCTATCTCCTCACATGACCTTTGACCTACAGAAACCATTCAGGGCTTTAAAATTTGAGCTCATTGAGGACATTAGGGGGTGTATTTAGGATTTATATACATTTAGATTTTTCACATTTTAAAGTCACTCAGTGATGATTTATCATTTAATTTTTCAAACTAATTTGAACTCATTCAAACTGATTCAAACCTTTCTAATACTTAAAAAATTAAACTTATGCCACTTCCCACCTTCCTGCCTTTTAAGGCTATTTCCTTCTTCATTCAAACTTTTTGCAATTTTAGACATTTTTCTAGCCTCTTTCAGCATGAATAAAATTTCCTTTTATAGAGCATATTCATACTATTTGTCCTTCAACCAATTAATCAATTATCCAACTTACATTTCTTTCACACCCCTTCAACAGCTTTAACATTTATACATTTCTCCATGTTTTATTAGCAGTTTAGCATTGCTTTTTCAGCTTTCAGCACTCAGCATTTCCACGCATTTTCTGCAAGGAAATGCAATTTTTCTAGTTAAGTGGAAATGCTGATAGGCATTTCCACTTATTGTTATTCTCCCGTTTCTTTATTATTATTATTATTATTATTATTATTATTCTTCCGCCGTTTTTCGTCCGCTTTCAACTCCTTCCCAGTTTGTGCGATTTCAACCGTTCAAACTTTAAACTATTCCACTCCTTCAGGACACGTTTGCTATTACTTTTCACTTTTCTAACATTTATACTTTTTGTTTTTTTTAACTTTTTGTGCAAAAATTTTAACATTGAAGTCAATGGGGAAATCTTCCAATTCTTCCTTTTATTCTTCCACTTTCTAGACCTTATAACTTCAGCATACTTTCACCTAGAGACCTCATTTTTGCTTTAAAATGTTCATTCACTTGTCGACTATTACAGTTGTACTCAGTTTTTTTGATATCTCTTACAGTTTTTCCACAATTTAGCTTTAAGCAACTTGTGGTTTTCAGCAAATTTCAAGCTTTATAATGGGTGTGTATTGGAGAGTTTAGAGTGATGATGTCATCAGCTAGAGTGCAGACCTCGTCTCTGATCGACAGAACCTCGCTCGAATATATCGCTCCCACGCCCACAAATCTCACTCCACTGACACAAATAATACATCAAAATGGAGGTATATGTGTCCTGCTTCTCACAAAAGAGGTTTCAAATCATTAAATCGTACCCCTTGGCCAGCAGGTGACCAACTGTCCAAAGAAGGCGGAAATCTCTCCCATTGACCGTAATGTTAATTTTCTCCAAGAAAATCCGGATCATCGCTCAGGCTCAGACTTTTTTAACTCGCTGTTGTGGCCTCTTTTTTCGAAGTACAGACATGAAAAAGACATCATTGTGTTCATGAAGGGCGGAGGATTCGTACGATGTTCTTATTTTCATTCTGTGACTTAAGGAAATCACGCTATGTGAAGAAGTTTAGAGCCTCTAAATCCTCTGCAGTTCAGCTGCTTCTCATTCAAACAGTAGGTCAGTGATTTGCCTTTGATCTCACAGCTGTTTAGGATGCAGTCATTAACGAGACACACACACACACACACACACACACACACATTCTTGTACTTGTTGCTTTATGAGGTCTACCTTGCAGTTCAGCTGCTTGTACACACAGTTAATATGTGTCTGCTTCGCCACCTATCTCCACCCACAAACTTTGAGCTACAGAAACCATTCTGGGCTTCTAAAATTCAGCTCATTGAAGATATTATGGGGTGTTTTGAGGATTGTGATAATAAATTGTATTAATGTGTTTAGCAGAGTCTTGTGTTCTCACAAGCTCCTTATCAGGAATAGATACAGAGGATGAGCGTCAGGGCCTACTTGGAGTCCTGTTTCCTTAGCTTCAAGCCTTCTTTCTCCTGCTATAGTTATGCATCCAAGGTCCCCATGGCAACCAATTAGTGCACCTGGAGACACACAGCTGACTGGAAAGCTGCTTCTAATGGCCATATGAGACACATGAAGCCAGGCTCAGCACACATAGCACTGGGGATGACACTTAAAACCCTTTACTACAGTGCTTGAAAAAACTTCAGCCCCTATCTCCTCACATGACCTTTGACCTACAGAAACCATTCAGGGCTTTAAAATTTGAGCTCATTGAGGACATTATGGGGTGTATTTAGGATTTATATACATTTAGATTTTTCACATTTTAAAGTCACTCAGTGATGATTTATCATTTAATTTTTCAAACTAATTTGAACTGATTCAAACTGATTCAAACCTTTCTAATACTTAAAAAATTAAACTTATGCCACTTCCCACCTTCCTGCCTCTTAAGGCAATTTCCTTCTTCATTCAAACTTTGTGCAATTTTAGACATTTTTCTAGCCTCTTTCAGCATGAATAAAATTTCTTTTTATAGAGCATATTCATACTATTTGTCCTTCAACCAATTAATCAATTATCCAACTTACATTTCTTTCACACCCCTTCAACAGCTTTAACATTTATACATTTCTCCATGTTTTATTAGCAGTTTAGCATTGCTTTTTCAGCTTTCAGCACTCAGCATTTCCACGCATTTTCTGCAAGGAAATGCAATTTTTCTAGTATTATACTTAACACTCTCCCCATACGTTTCTTTGGACCGCTTCTCCTCCTTCAAACTTTGTCCGATTTCAACCGTTCAAACTTTAAACGATTCCACTCCTTTAGGACATGATGGCTATTACTTTTCTCTTTTCTACCCTTTATACTTTTTATTATTTTTCACTTTTTGTGCCAAACTTTTTTTCCCATAGAAATGAATGGGGAAATCTTTCAATTCTTCCTGTTATTCGTCCACCTTCTAAGCCTTATAACTTCAGCATACTTTCACCTAGAGACCTCATTTTTGCTTTAAAATGTTCATTGTCTTGTCGACTATTGATATTGTATTAACCTTTTTGTGCTTTCTTTTACAGTTTTTCCACAATTTAGCTTGAAGCAACTTGTGGTTTTCAGCAAATTTCAGGCTTTATAATAGGGGTGTATTGGAGAGTTTAGAGTGATGATTTGAAAAGCTAGAGTGCAGACCTCGTCTCTGATCGACAGAACCTCGCTCGAATATATCGCTCCCACGCCCACAACACTCACTCCACAGCCATAAATAATACATCAAAATGGAGGTATATGTGTCCTGCTTCTCACAAAAGAGGTTTCAAATCATTAAATCGTACCCCTTGGCCAGCAGGTGACCAACTGTCCAAGGAAGGCGGAAATCTCTCCCATTGACCGTAATGTTATTTTTCTCCAAGAAAATCCGGATCATCGCTCAGGCTCAGACTTTTTTAACTCGCTGTTGTGGCCTCATTTTTCGAAGTACATACATGAAAAACACATCATTGTGTTCATGAAGGACGGACGATTCGTACGATGTTCTTATTTTCATTCTGGGACTTAAGGAAATCACGCTATGTGAAGAAGTTCACAGGCTGAAATTCACAGCAGTTCAGCACCTCTCAGTCAAACAGTAGGTTAGTGATTTGCCTTTGATCTCACAGCTGTTTAGGATGCAGTCATTAACGAGACACACACACACACACGCACACACATTCTTGTACTTGTTGCTTTTTGAGGTCCACCTTGCAGTTCAGCTGCTTGTACACACAGTTAATATGTGTCTGCTTCACCACCTATCTCCACCCACAAACTTTGAGCTACAGAAACCATTCTGGGCTTCAAAAATTCAGCTCATTGAAGATATTATGGGGTGTTTTCAGGATTGTGATAATAAATTGTATTAATGTGTTCAGCAGAGTCTTGTGTTCTCACAAGCTCCTTATGAATATATACAGAGGGTGAGCGTCAGGGCCTACTTGGAGTCCTGTTTCTTTAGCTTCAAGCCTTCTTTCTCCTGCTATAGTTATGCATCCAAGGTCCCCATGGCAACCAATTTGTGCACCTGGAGACACACAGCTGACTGGAAAGCTGCTTCTAGTGGCCATATGAGACACATGAAGCCAGGCTCAGTACACATAGCAATTGGGATGACACTTAAAACCCTTTCCTAGAGCGTTGGAAAAAACTTCAGCCCCTATCTCCTCACATGACCTTTGACCTACAGAAACCATTCAGGGCTTTGAAATTTAAGCTCATTGAGGACATTATTGGGTGTATTTAGAATTGTTATTCATTTAAATTTTTCACATTTTAAAGTCACTCAGTGATGATTTATCATTTAATTTTTCAAACTAATTTAAACTCATTCAAACTGATTCAAACCTTTCTAATACTTCAAAACTTTCTGATACTTGAGGACTTTTGATAATTTAAAATTTCCCTGTTTTAAATTAGTTTTAATATTTATGCATTACTCCATCATTCAAACAAAATCCTACCTCAAGTACGACAACTACTGCTAATGTCAATTAAACTAGAACTTTCCCCTCTACTTCAACTGCTATTGCTCCTATTTCTACTTTCTTTACTACTTTGACTTATACTTCTTTTATTCTCAATCTACTTCTACTGCTGACATGACTACTAGTATCACGACTTGACTTCTTATCATACTACTTCTAGTACTACAATTTAAACTTATGCCACTTCTCACCTTCCTGCCTTTTAAGGCAATTTCCTTCTTCATTCAAACTTTGTGCAATTTTCGACATTTTTCTAGCCTCTTTCAGCATGAATAAAATTTCCTTTTATAGAGCATATTCATACTATTTGTCCTTCAACCAATTAAGTAGTTATCCAACTTATTTTTCTTTTTCATTCCTTCAACAGCTTTAACATTTATACCTTTCTCCATGTTTTATTAGCAGTTTAGCATTGCTTTTTCAGCTTTCAGCACTCAGCATTTCCACGCATTTTCTGCAAGGAAATGCAATTTTTCTAGTTATTATTATTATTATTATTATTATTATTCTTCCGCCGTTTTTCGTCCGCTTTCAACTCCTTCCCAGTTTGTGCGATTTCAACCGTTCAAACTTTAAACTATTCCACTCCTTCAGGACACGTTTGCTATTACTTTTCACTTTTCTAACATTTATACTTTTTGTTTTTTTTTACTTTTTGTGCAAAAATTTTAACATTGAAGTCAATGGGGAAATCTTCCAATTCTTCCTTTTATTCTTCCACCTTCTAGACCTTATAACTTCAGCATACTTTCACCTAGAGACCTCATTTTTGCTTTAAAATGTTCATATACTTGTCGACTATTATAGTTGTACTCAGTTTTTTGATATCTCTTACAGTTTTTCCACAATTTAGCTTTAAGCAACTTGTGGTTTTCAGCAAATTTCAAGCTTTATAATGGGTGTGTATTGGAGAGTTTAGAGTGATGATGTCATCAGCTAGAGTGCAGACCTCGTCTCTGATCGACAGAACCTCGCTCGAATATATCGCTCCCACGCCCACAAATCTCACTCCACTGACACAAATAATACATCAAAATGGAGGTATATGTGTCCTGCTTCTCACAAAAGAGGTTTCAAATCATTAAATCCTACCCCTTGGCCAGCAGGTGACCAACTGTCCAAAAAAGGCGGAAATCTCTCCCATTGACCATAATGTTATTTTTCTCCAAGAAAATCCGGATCATCGCTCAGGCTCAGACTTTTTTAACTCGCTGTTGTGGCCTCATTTTTCGAAGTACAGACATGAAAAAGACATCATTGTGTTCATGAAGGGCGGAGGATTCGTACAATGTTCTTATTTTCATTCTGTGACTTAAGGAAAACACGCTATGTGAAGAAGTTTAGAGCCTCTAAATCCTCTGCAGTTCAGCTGCTTCTCATTCAAACAGTAGGTCAGTGATTTGCCTTTGATCTCACAGCTGTTTAGGATGCAGTCATTAACGAGACACACACACACACACACATTCTTGTACTTGTTGCTTTATGAGGTCTACCTTGCAGTTCAGCTGCTTGTACACACAGTTAATATGTGTCTGCTTCGCCACCTATCTCCACCCACAAACTTAGAGCTACAGAAACCATTCTGGGCTTCTAAAATTCAGCTCATTGAAGATATTATGGGGTGTTTTGAGGATTGTGATAATAAATTGTATTAATGTGTTTAGCAGAGTCTTGTGTTCTCACAAGCTCCTTATCAGGAATAGATACAGAGGATGAGCGTCAGGGCCTACTTGGAGTCCTGTTTCCTTAGCTTCAAGCCTTCTTTCTCCTGCTATAGTTATGCATCCAAGGTCCCCATGGCAACCAATTAGTGCACCTGGAGACACACAGCTGACTGGAAAGCTGCTTCTAATGGCCATATGAGACACATGAAGCCAGGCTCAGCACACATAGCACTGGGGATGACACTTAAAACCCTTTACTAGAGCGCTTGAAAAAACTTCAGCCCCTATCTCCTCACATGACCTTTGACCTACAGAAACCATTCAGGGCTTTAAAATTTGAGCTCATTGAGGACATTAGGGGGTGTATTTAGGATTTATATACATTTAGATTTTTCACATTTTAAAGTCACTCAGTGATGATTTATCATTTAATTTTTCAAACTAATTTGAACTGATTCAAACTGATTCAAACCTTTCTAATACTTAAAAAATTAAACTTATGCCACTTCTCACCTTCCTGCCTTTTAAGGCAATTTCCTTCTTCATTCAAACTTTGTGCAATTTTCGACATTTTTCTAGCCTCTTTCAGCATGAATAAAATTTCCTTTTATAGAGCATATTCATACTATTTGTCCTTCAACCAATTAATCAATTATCCAACTTATATTTCTGTTCACCCCTTCAACAGCTTTAACATTTATACCTTTCTCCATGTTTTATTAGCAGTTTAGCATTGCTTTTTCAGCTTTCAGCACTCAGCATTTCCACGCATTTTCTGCAAGGAAATGCAATTTTTCTAGTTAAGTGGAAATGCTGATTAAGCATTTCCACTTATTGTTATTCTCCTGTTTCTTTATTAAACTTATTAAGTGGAAATGCTGATTAAGCATTTCCACTTATTGTTATTCTCCTGTTTCTTTATTAAACTTATTATTATTCTTCCGTCCCTTTTTTGCAACGCTTCTCCTCCTTCAAACTTTGTCCGATTTCAACCATTCAAACTTTAAACTATTCCACTCCTTCAGGACATTATGGCTATTACTTTTTTCTTTTCTACCCCTTATACTTTTTGATATTTTTGACTTTTTGTGCAAAAAATTTTCCCATTAAAATGAATGGGGAAATCTTCAAATTCTACCTTTTACTCCTCCACCTTCTCAGCCTTATAACTTCAGCGTACTTTCACCTACAGACCTAATTTTTGCTTTAAAATGTTCACAATCTTCTCCTCCAAATATGCTGTATTGACTTTTTTGTGCTATCTCCTACAGTTTTTCCACAATTTAGCTTTAAGCAACTTGTGGTTTTCAGCAAATTTCAAGCTTTATAATGGGTGTGTATTGGAGAGTTTAGAGTGATGATGTCATCAGCTAGAGTGCAGACCCCGTCTCTGATCGACAGAACCTCGCTCGAATATATCGCTCCCACGCCCACAAATCTCACTCCACAGCCATAAATAATACATCAAAATGGAGGTATATGTGTCCTGCTTCTCACAAAAGAGGTTTCAAATCATTAAATCGTACCCCTTGGCCAGCAGGTGACCAACTGTCCAAGGAAGGCGGAAATCTCTCCCATTGACCATAATGTTATTTTTCTCCAAGAAAATCCGGATCATCGCTCAGGCTCAGACTTTTTTAACTCGCTGTTGTGGCCTCTTTTTTCGAAGTACAGACATGAAAAAGACATCATTGTGTTCATGAAGGGCGGAGGATTCGTACGATGTTCTTATTTTCATTCTGTGACTTAAGGAAATCACGCTATGTGAAGAAGTTTAGAGCCTCTAAATCCTCTGCAGTTCAGCTGCTTCTCATTCAAACAGTAGGTCAGTGATTTGCCTTTGATCTCACAGCTGTTTAGGATGCAGTCATTAATGAGACAAACGCACACACACACACATTCTTGTACTTGTTGCTTTGTCAGGTCTACCTTGCAGTTCACCTGCTTGTACACACAGTTAATATGTGTCTGCTTCGCCACCTATCTCCACCCACAAACTTTGAGCTACAGAAACCATTCTGGGCTTCAAAAATTCAGCTCATTGAAGATATTATGGGGTGTTTTGAGGATTGTGATAATAAATTGTATTAATGTGTTCAGCAGAGTCTTGTGTTCTCACAAGCTCCTTATGAATATATACAGAGGGTGAGCGTCAGGGCCTACTTGGAGTCCTGTTTCTTTAGCTTCAAGCCTTCTTTCTCCTGCTATAGTTATGCATCCAAGGTCCCCATGGCAACCAATTTGTGCACCTGGAGACACACAGCTGACTGGAAAGCTGCTTCTAGTGGCCATATGAGACACATGAAGCCAGGCTCAGTACACATAGCAATTGGGATGACACTTAAAACCCTTTCCTAGAGCGTTGGAAAAAACTTCAGCCCCTATCTCCTCACATGACCTTTGACCTACAGAAACCATTCAGGGCTTTGAAATTTAAGCTCATTGAGGACATTATTGGGTGTATTTAGGATTGTTATTCATTTAAATTTTTCACATTTTAAAAGTCACTCAGTGATGATTTATCATTTAATTTTTCAAACTAATTTAAACTCATTCAAACTGATTCAAACCTTTCTAATACTTCAAAACTTTCTGATACTTGAGGACTTTTGATAATTTAAATTTTCCCTGTTTTAAATTAGTTTTAATATTTATGCATTACTCCATCATTCAAACAAAATCCTACCTCAAGTACGACAACTACTGCTAATGTCAATTAAACTAGAACTTTCCCCTCTACTTCAACTGCTATTGCTCCTATTTCTACTTTCTTTACTACTTTGACTTATACTTCTTTTATTCTCAATCTACTTCTACTGCTGACATGACTACTAGTATCACGACTTGACTTCTTATCATACTACTTCTAGTACTACAACTGAATCTTATGCCACTTCTCACCTTCCTGCCTTTTAAGGCAATTTCCTTCTTCATTCAAACTTTGTGCAATTTTCGACATTTTTCTAGCCTCTTTCAGCATGAATAAAATTTCCTTTTATAGAGCATATTCATACTATTTGTCCTTCAACCAATTAATCAATTATCCAACTTATATTTCTGTTCACCCCTTCAACAGCTTTAACATTTATACCTTTCTCCATGTTTTATTAGCAGTTTAGCATTGCTTTTTCAGCTTTCAGCACTCAGCATTTCCACGCATTTTCTGCAAGGAAATGCAATTTTTCTAGTTAAGTGGAAATGCTGATTAAGCATTTCCACTTATTGTTATTCTCCTGTTTCTTTAATCTTATTATTATTATTCTTCCGCCGTTTTTTGTCACGCTTCTCCTCCTTCAAACTTTGTCCGATTTCAACCATTCAAACTTTAAACTATTCCACTCCTTCAGGACATGTGTGCTATTACTTTTCACTTTTCTACCCTTTATACTTTTTGATTTTTTTAACTTTTTGTGCAAAAATTTTAACATTGAAGTCAATGGGGAAATCTTCCACTTCTTCCTTTTTTTCTTCCACCTTCTAGACCTTATAACTTCAGCATACTTTCACCTAGAGACCTCATTTTTGCTTTAAAATGTTCATTCACTTGTCGACTATTATAGTTGTACTCAGTTTTTTGATATCTTTTACAGTTTTTCCACAATTTAGCTTTAAGCAACTTGTGGTTTTCAGCAAATTTCAAGCTTTATAATGGGTGTGTATTGGAGAGTTTAGAGTGATGATGTCATCAGCTAGAGTGCAGACCTCGTCTCTGATCGACAGAACCTCGCTCGAATATATCGCTCCCATGCCCACAAATCTCACTCCACTGACACAAATAATACATCAAAATGGAGGTATATGTGTCCTGCTTCTCACAAAAGAGGTTTCAAATCATTAAATCGTACCCCTTGGCCAGCAGGTGACCAACTGTCCAAAAAAGGCGGAAATCTCTCCCATTGACTGTAATGTTATTTTTCTCCAAGAAAATCCGGATCATCGCTCAAGCTCAGACTTTTTTAACTCGCTGTTGTGGCCTCATTTTTCGAAGTACAGACATGAAAAACACATCATTGTGTTCATGAAGGACGGAGGATTCGTACGATGTTCTTATTTTCATTCTGGGACTTAAGGAAATCACGCTATGTGAAGAAGTTCACAGGCTGAAATTCACTGCAGTTCAGCACCTCTCAGTCAAACAGTAGGTTAGTGATTTGCCTTTGATCTCACAGCTGTTTAGGATGCAGTCATTAACGACACACACACACACACGCACACACATTCTTGTACTTGTTACTTTTTGAGGTCCACCTCGCAGTTCAGCTGCTTGTACACACAGTTAATATGTGTCTGCTTCACCACCTATCTCCACCCACAAACTTTGAGCTACAGAAACCATTCTGGGCTTCAAAAATTCAGCTCATTGAAGATATTATGGGGTGTTTTGAGGATTGTGATAATAAATTGTATTAATGTGTTCAGCAGAGTCTTGTGTTCTCACAAGCTCCTTATGAATATATACAGAGGGTGAGCGTCAGGGCCTACTTGGAGTCCTGTTTCTTTAGCTTCAAGCCTTCTTTCTCCTGCTATAGTTATGCATTCAAGGTCCCCATGGCAACCAATTTGTGCACCTGGAGACACACAGCTGACTGGAAAGCTGCTTCTAATGGCCATATGAGACACATGAAGCCAGGCTCAGTACACATAGCACTGGGGATGACACTTAAAACCCTTTCCTAGAGCGTTGGAAAAAACTTCAGCCCCTATCTCCTCACATGACCTTTGACCTACAGAAACCATTCAGGGCTTTGAAATTTAAGCTCATTGAGGACATTATTGGGTGCATTTAGGATTGTTATTCATTTAAATTTTTCACATTTTAAAACTCAGTCAGTGATGATTTATCATTTAATTTTTCAAACTAATTTAAACTCATTCAAACTGATTCAAACCTTTCTAATACTTCAAAACTTTCTGATACTTGAGGACTTTTGATAATTTAAAATTTCCCTGTTTTAAATTAGTTTTAATATTTATGCATTACTCCATCATTCAAACAAAATCCTACCTCAAGTACAACAACTACTGCTAATGTAAATTAAACTACAACTTTCCCCTCTACTTCAACTGCTATTGCTCCTATTTCTACTTTCTTTACTACTTTGACTTATACTTCTTTTTTTCTCAATCTACTTCTACTGCTGACATGACTACTAGTATCACGACTTGACTTCTTATCATACTACTTCTAGTACTACAATTTAAACTTATGCCACTTCTCACCTTCCTGCCTTTTAAGGCAATTTCCTTCTTCATTCAAACTTTGTGCAATTTTAGACATTTTTCTAGCCTCTTTCAGCATGAATAAAATTTCCTTTTATAGAGCATATTCATACTATTTGTCCTTCAACCAATTAATCAATTATCCAACTTATATTTCTGTTCACCCCTTCAACAGCTTTAACATTTATACCTTTCTCCATGTTTTATTAGCAGTTTAGCATTGCTTTTTCAGCTTTCAGCACTCAGCATTTCCACGCATTTTCTGCAAGGAAATGCAATTTTTCTAGTTATTATTATTCTTCCGTCCCTTTTTTGCAACGCTTCTCCTCCTTCAAACTTTGTCCGATTTCAACCGTTCAAACTTTAAACTATTCCACTCCTTCAGGACATTATGGCTATTACTTTTCACTTTTCTACCCTTTATACTTTTTGATTTTTTTAACTTTTTGTGCAAAAATTTTAACATTGAAGTCAATGGGGAAATCTTCCACTTCTTCCTGTTATTCGTCCACCTTCTAAGCCTTATAACTTCAGCATACTTTCACCTAGAGACCTCATTTTTGCTTTAAAATGTTCATTGTCTTGTCGACTATTGATGTTGTGTTAACCTTTTTGTGCTATCTTTTACAGTTTTTCCACAATTTAGCTTTAAGCAACTTGTGGTTTTCAGCTAATTTTCAGGCTTTATAATGGGTGTGTATTGGAGAGTTTAGAGTGAGGATTTGAAAAGCTAGAGTGCAGACCTCGTCTCTGATCGACAGAACCTCGCTCGAATATATCGCTCCCACGCCCACAAATCTCACTCCACAGCCATAAAAAATACATCAAAATGGAGGTATATGTGTCCTGCTTCTCACAAAAGAGGTTTCAAATCATTAAATCGTACCCCTTGGCCAGCAGGTGACCAACTGTCCAAAAAAGGCGGAAATCTCTCCCATTGACCATAATGTTATTTTTCTCCAAGAAAATCCTTATCGTCACTCAGGCTCAGACTTTTTTAACTCGCTGTTGTGGCCATATTTTTTGGAGTACAGACATGAAAAACACATCATTGTGTTCATGAAGGGCGGAGGATTCGTACGATGTTCTTATTTTCATTCTGGGATTTAAGGAAATCGTGCTATGTGAAGAAGTTCAGGGCCCTAAATTCACTGCAGTTCAGCAGCTTCTCCATTCAAACAATAGGTCAGTGATTTGCCTTTGATCTCACAGCTGTTTAGGATGCAATCATTAACGAGCTACACACACACTCAGCCAATGTGTGTGCGTCAGCCTCCTTCTCTCTATGAGACCTTCAAGTACACACAGTAAATATGTCCATGCGTGAGTCTCTCTCTGTCTATGAGACCTGAACACACTTTGACCATGTGGCTGCTTCACCACCTATCTTCTCTCACAAACTTCGAGATACAGACACATTTTGGGCTTCAGAAATTCTGCTCATTGAGGACATTATGGAGTCTACAGAGGATTTCTATTCATTTAAATTGTCCTTAATTTAAAATAACTCATTATTTGTGCATTTTTCAATTCTTCTAATAAATTTAAACTCACTCTTATTCAAACCTCTCTGACTCTTCAAACCTTTCTAATACTTTAGGATTTTTTATTAGTTATATTTTCCCCATTTTAAATCGTTTTTACTATTCATGCATATTTCAATTCTTCAAACAAAATCCCACTTCCACTTCTACAACTTCTACTTCAACTAGTCTTGCTACTATTAGTACTAGAAAACAATTAAAATGAATTGATTGAACCACTGCCTTTCGGTCGTGTGAAGTATGACATGTCCGAGTGTCCCTGAACGCCTCAAACATTTCTACCGTGACTCACTGGTGGCTCGCGCTATCCTTCTCCGACCTCGACGAAGGTAAGTCAGAGCACAGGCGCTCTAACTTCTGAACACTTCAAACGGCGATTTAACGTTTCATATGGCACTGGTTTTAGTTATAATCAATGAAGAGTTCATTCATGATTGAAGTGGTCGATATATTGAGTTGAAAAAGCGTACGCTAACGCTGTTAGCGTCGAGTTAGCGCCGCTAGCGTCGAGCTAGCGCCGCTAGCGCCGCTAGCGTCGAGCTAGCGCCGTTAGCGCCGCTAGCGTCGAGCTAACGCTAAAGTCAACATACCCTCAGCTGTGAGGCTGAATCATTAGCCAGCTGAGCACAAAAGAAAGTGAATATGTAAGCCGCTGCGGTACTATAAAGTGGGCCAAATGATGTCCAGGCTGTGGAGTTTACTGACAATGGGACTGACAAGAATAGTCATATTGTCAAGTATTAACTGACTAACTAGCTAACTAATGACGCTAGCGGCATTGCTACAGGTTCAGTTCATTACTGTGACTTAGCCATTGCTGGGGAACTGGTCTGGAGACGTCAGCTGTTCAGCTCCTGGTCACTTTTTATCAGCCATTGTGGATGTATTAAAATATAGGCTGCATTTAGCAAGCATCCAGGTACAGCACAAATATGAGTGGTTTTTTTTTTTATGTGTCAGAATGGACCTAGATGGTCCTCTATTATTGAGGGTTTTATTCATGATGGAGATGATAGAGATATTTACATTGCAAAACATAAAATGAATTCAGTATTTAATGTTTAACAATATGAAGTTCTAATTAATAAATATATTCCAGTTGAATTTCCCTTTAGGGATCAATAAAGTTCTTATCTTAATATTGAGTTGATGGATGAAGAGTTAGCTGCCTTGAAGTTGGTGGACCTGCTCCTGGTCTGTCTCTGTCTTGTTGGCTGCTACTGAACTTCACCGTCTACTGTACCTAATTTACCTTTGATAACAAGCTGTTAATTTGGATATTGGTGATGTGCTAACACCACAGCAAAGATACTTTATCTGAGGTATATATACTTTAATACAGTATGTATTATGTGTGACATTTTCAGCTGCAGCTAACAGCCAGGTGATCTGTTGGAGCTGTTTAGTTTTCAATTAGCCGAACTACTGTAATAATGTTAGTTTTCTTTATAGGCCTATTGTTTTTAATGTGCTATCTGTCAGAAAACACTAATGTATTGTTTCTTGTCTCAAATAGAAGATACATCCGCTCCAGTGCATTTGTTGGTAAGTATAAGTGTTTTGACCAAGACTGACAACAAACAAAATAAAAATAACCGGATTAATGATTAGCTTAATCCTGTTTAACAACATGTCATTCAAGATAATGTACAACATATGATGCATTTTTCAAATACTGAGTTTAAATTGATATGAAATGTTGATTTATCTGTAACACTGTTGTATATGCTATATGAAAATCATAGATGGGATACAGTTTTTTCCTAGTAGACAACAGTGAGCTAACAATATTACTATACTACTAAATTCATTTATTTTAAACATTTTAACTTGATGGGAAAGTCTGAATCTAAATTTTGACAATAATTAAGTGGGAAAATCATTCAGATAATTACTATTACTTTGATAATAATCATTACTTTGAATGAAGTGAGCTGTGAGGGCGTCTCTTTTGAGTGTAATAAAAAACTCTTTTCTTCCCTCTCCCCCTCCTCCTGCATCATCTTGTCCTCTGACCTGTGTGAAATTCCCTACCAACTCTGAAGTGTAAGTTCACACTTGTATATACTTATTAAGCAATCAATTAAATGTTACATTTTTCTCTGCAGTTTATAATGACATTTCAGTGTTGCGTATTTCACCTCAATTACATAAGAAATTAAAAAGTAAAGCGGTCCTTCATTGTGTTTGTGCATTTCTCTCCATTTTAACAAACATTTTTACAAGCTAAGAGAGCAACTAAATTTTATTTTTTTGTCCCTCTGTCTTTTCCCTTCTCTGAACTCCTCAACGCTATCTCTGCTGCGGGCCCTACTCACTGTTGGCGATTCAGCTGTAAGTTCACAAATAAAGTAACACTGACACTTTTTACAACACATCATGTAAAAACCTGACACTATGTCCTTATTTGACAAACTGCAGCACATTCTCATTGTAACACAAACCATTTAAAAAAACACTTTATTTAAACTAAAGCAGAACCAAATAGAAATAATTTTGCAGGCTGATTACAATTGAAACGACAATGCAGTGAGATGTGCTGGTTTTGTACAACTAAACTAAAAATCTCTTGTCTCTTTTTTTCCATTTTCCTTCTTGCCAACTCTATCCTGTCTCCAAGTGCAGACCGTTTTGTGGCGACTCGACGTAAGTTCACACAGGAATGACATTTTCATGAATAACGCAGGGTGCCTTTATTCAATACACCCCTCATCATGTCCAAACTTTTTTTTTTTCCCCTTTGATAATGTAATATTCACAGTTGGAAATGAACAGGTTAAATGTGATATACAATACACTTATTTGCATTTTATTTCCAATCATTGGAAAGCAATTTGTTACTATTAAATTGTGGAGTTCATCATGAAAATCCAAATAATTACTAATTGAATGTGATTACCTCCTTTGTGCAGCTCTTTATATTAGAAAAAAAATCTAATTTAATGTTCCTTAATATGGAATAGACAATCACTATCTATGCCGCCATTGATTTATTTTATTATTCATTTAATCCTATGTTTAGAAATGTGTATATCCTTCTAAGGTACTTTGCATGCTTCTGTTTACAGCTTACGGAGCTGCTTGGCCTCATAACTTATTACATTGTAGGAATACTTAAAACACGGTAAAGGAAATAACATTTTCCAAAACACATCATATTTTATCAGCAGAGTAATCCATTGTTGTTACTGCTTACCAGGACATGGTTATAAACATTATAGAGGGAACTTAAAATAAAGAGTCTAAAATGCGCAGGGATAATAGAAACTTTTGTAAAATACTTTGAGGTCCTAAATTTAAATTTATGGTTCTGTGGTTGGATTCAAGTTGGACTCGCTGGAGGATGTGGTGGAGAGATGTACTGTTAGGAAGGTGGAGGCTATTCAAAAGAATTTGGCTCACCCACTTCACAACACCTTGGTGGACCGAAAGGCCTATGGTGGTGGACGGCTCCTCTCTCTGCTGCAGGACAGAAAGACTCATAAGATCTTTTGTACCCACAGCCATCAGACTCTACAATTTAAATAGTAGATGACTTTTTGAGACATGACAAGTGAGACTACAGACAATTGAATTTCCCTTAGGGGATAAATAAAGTTCTTTGTATCTTAAATACATTTTCAGTTATCTCTTATGAACACTGTATTTTTAGTCATTAATTTGATTGAAGGGTTATCGAACAAGACAATGGTCACTTCCAGCTTTTGACTCAACTTGACTTTTGATAGATGTATAGTTGAGGACAGCCACTTGGTGGATTGAGTAAAAGTACATTATAATCTCACTAGCTTTGGGTGGATGTTGGATCATTTAATTTTGTCTTTAATAAAAAAAGATTAATGTTTTTTTCCATTGTGTCTTACAGGTATCCTGTCCAGTCTCCCCACTCTCCCCTATCATTTTGGTCCCTCTGACTTTCCTGTCTCCTCTACCACTCTTTCTGATTGAAAAGCCACTCTGCCTTTCTATCCCCCTTCTATCCCACTCTGGCTACTAATACAATCCTTGAACAAATCTTTGATACCATTGAAACAAATCTTTGAGACCCTTTGCAATAAATCTTTGAGACCTTTTGCAACAAATCATTTGAGACCCTTTTGCAACAAATCATTTGAGACCCCTTTGCAACAAATCATTTGAGACCCCTTTGCAATAAATCTTTTTGAGACCTATTTTAACAAGCCACCTTTTTTGAGAAACCTTTGTAAACAATCAACCCTTTTTTTGAGAAACCGAACTTCTGAAAAGCTGTACATTTAATACAACCACTGTATTGGAAAAAGCCCTAATTTTGCAAAAGTCTCATTGTTGTTCTAGGTTTTCCTTTCCTGTCTGTGGATCCAGAGTTTCACCAGAAGAAGTGTCATCAGCACCACCATATCTGCGTCCCTGATTTTGAAAGAAAAAATAAACACGTTTCATATAGAATATTTGACTTGCATATTATTTCAAGCACAAAGTTCAAAGATTTACAAATAGTTGCTGATTTGTGTTTTTTTCTGAAAACATTTATATAGCCTTGCCTAGGATTTCCTTAGAAAACATTTGATAAACTATTGTGGTATACACACAGTTATAAATTAGATATTTTGGAGACTATAAGAGCTGTTAAATAACCTCCTCTCTTTAAGAAATAAAGCGTTTTGTCTGTACTGGTGCTTGTCATTAACTTTAAATTGTTGAATAAACACATTGTTGTGTAAGGACAGCTACAATGCCGAGAAAGAGTAAGAGGTCACAGGTTGCAAGCCAGCGCTGGCAGAGGTTTCATGACATTGACCATGTGAGTACTGGACAAGCAGATGGTATTCCTCAGAGCAGTGGAGAGGTAAAGAGGTCTGAAGTATCTGATGCTGTGAAACAGGGAGGTCAAAGTGCGTCATGTCAACCACAGGTATCTTATGCAGACGTGCTTAAGAGGAGACGTGTAAGTGAGTCACCTGCAGCAGGTCCTTCTAACTCTCATCAGGTGAACTACATAGCCCAAACTGAAAAGCCATGCTCAACCCAGGTATCACATGCAGACACTGTTAAGAAGGGAAACCACAGTAATTATCAGTCTGTATCAGGCTCTTCTCGGGTAAGAAATGTTAACGCTGTTAGTCAGTCAGGTGAACAAAGCGTCTGTGCGTCACGCAGCCAAGCGTCTCTGAAATACGGCCAATCCAGAAACCAGCAGTGCACCTGTAACTCACTGACATTTCTAGCATTCCTGTATGAGAATGAACACATCACCAGAGCAGACCTGGACCGTGTTTTGGATAAAGGTGATGTGATGTACAGAGAAGTCAGAAAAACTGTTCGTGATCACAGCCATCTGACAACCGATGAGCTCCCTGACCTGGTTCCTGCACGCAGACACACGCAGATATTTGACAAGTTACAGCTGTCTAGATACGGTACGTTTGGAGATCCGGATCCCGGAGCTGTTGATACCTTTCTGGACCTCGTTTCAGGACTGAGCTGCTTATTAACAGATGTGCAGTATGCTTTGCTGCTAATGACTTCGTTGTGCATTGCAGTTTTCAGAACCAGAGATGGCAGGTACGGTTTCTTTGACCCACATGCTCGGACAGCTAACGGTTTGCCTCTGCTTAAGGCCACACCTACTCCTGGAACCGCTGTCATGGTAACATTCAGACGACTCAGTGACATGATTCACAGGCTCATCAGGTATCACCATATATTGGGCACAGCAGGGTCCTGTCGCTATGAGCTCAAGCCAGTTGTGTTTTGTGATGTGAACCCAAGTGATGCTATCCCAGCCACAGAAAGTCCGTCCACAAGTCCCTCTGTCAAAACCACCGTGATAGATGATTACACAAGTGCTCCACAGATGAACACTGATGTCCATGAAAACTCTGAACATGACATGGAAATTGAACCAGAACCACTGATCGACTTCAGCCAGTGTTCTGTCACATTAACTGGTCCTGAATTTCTCACTCCAGAGATTAACACTACTGTAAGTGATGACACATCACAGAAAGCCTCAACTTTGATGGAAACTCAAGCTCATCAACCAGGTCAGATCAACAATACTTCTGTCACATTAGAGGAAACTCAACAGACAAAATCAAATTTGACACAACCATTGATAACGATCCCCGTTGCTAGTGACAAAGTTATCCATGACATCTCCACTAAACTGTCAAAATTAAGCAAACAGCAAAAAATGAAATTTAAGAGGAGACTAATGAGATCTGGAAAGACATCTGAAAAGAAAGAGAATCAAAAAAGGAGAGAAAGAGAAAAGTATGCTAAGAATGAAACATACAAAGCAAAGAAAAAGTCTTATTCAAGTGAGAAATATTCTGTCAATCCTGAAATACAAACAAAGAAAAGACAAAAGATCACAACTAAATACAGAGAAAGCACAGACTTCAGACTGAAACAAAAAGAATATATCACCAAAAAATACAAAGAAAATGTTGAATTTAAAGGCAGACAAAAAGAATATATCACAAGGAAATACAGAGAAAATGTTGATTTTAAAGGCAGACAAAAAGAATATATCACAAGAAAATACAGAGAAAATGTTGATTTTAAAGGAAGACAAAAGTTATATTTCAGGAAAAAATACAGAGAAAATGTTGATTTTAAAGGCAGACGAAAAGAATATTTCAGGAAAAAATACTCAGAGGATGTTGATTTCCGCCAAAGACAGAGATCCTACTTCAATCATCGATATTCAAATGATGAAACATTCCATCACCGACACAGACAACTGATGAGACAAATAATGCGAGACAGGTATAAGACAAATCTTGCATACAGGACTATGCATAAAATGAGGTGTGCATTGAAAATATCAAAGAAATACAAACAGATAAGTAGACAAACATGTGAGACTGACAGAGAGAGTGAAAACCCACTTATTGAAAGTGCCATAAATGATTTCCGATCACACATTAAAGCTGGTCCCACCCATGTTTGCACAGTTTGCCACAAAGCCTCATTTCCAAACCAGGTGCAAAAGTGCAAGAGGTCCAACTATGTGAAAAATCCAATCATGGTTTCAGCTTGTCTCAAAGGTCAGTACGTCCATGATTGTAACGATGACTACAGAAATCAGTGCACTGTCCCTGATGAGAGAAAGACTGAGTGGATTTGTCACACCTGCCATGACCATCTGAAAAATGGATCCATGCCCAAACTTGCCATAGCAAACAACTTGGAGCTTGCTGACATACCACCTGAGCTGTGTGACCTCAACATACTGGAGAGACATCTAATAGCAAAGTGCATAACATTTGCCAAAATCATTCCTCTTCCCAAAGGCAGACAGAGAGCTATACATGGTAATGTTGTATGTGTTCCCTCTGAAGTCCAGGAAACAATTCAGGCTCTACCCAGATTGAGAAATGAGTCTCAGGTGATGAGAGTAAAACTGAAGAGACGTTTGAGTTACAGAGGTCACCATCTGTTTCAGACTGTTACCTGGTCCAAGCTAGTGCAGGCTCTGCATAAACTGAAAGAGACACACCCCCAGTATGAAGACATCACTATTAGAGATGAGGAGGAGTTATGTGACCCCACACTTCCTGATGATGGTGATGAGGATGAGGATGAGGATGATGGTAATGATATTACAATGAATGATGACGACTATGATGATGAGGATTTGATGGAAATTGATAGAATTGAGGCTGCTGCCATGTATGAGGCTGAAACTAATGTTGAAAATGAGGATGAGCACACAGAGCTGTGTGATAAAAGTCAGACCCAGGACAATGATGATCAGACACAACAACAGGATGCAGACATATCTAATGGTGGTGTTGTTTTGGAGTCGTGCCTTCAGCCACGGGATGTTTCTGAGGAGATATTGTGTTTCAGTGAGTCTACATACTCAGTAGCTCCAGCAGAGAGAAACAATCCAGTCAGTTTTTTCAAAACACCCAAACTAGAGGCCATGGCGTTTCCTGTTCAGTTTCCCACTGGTGAGAATACACTGGATGAAAACAGACCAATGAAACTATCACCCAGTAGTTATTTTAAAGCAAGGCTCTTTGGTGTTGATGATCGCTTTGCCAAAGATACCAACTACCTGTTCTTTGCACAGTTTGTGACTGAAATACACTTGGCTACCTCCAGCATGTCAATACAGTTACGCAAAGGCAAACCTTTGACCAGAGACGGACGTAAAATAACATCCAGAATGTTGAGAGACAAATACGAAGTGGAGAGACTGGTGAGAAACAGAGATGCTATCAGATTTATGCAGCCGCTCAGAGGAACACCAGCCTACTGGGACAAAACTACAAAAGATCTGTTTGCTATGATCAGACAGTTGGGCAGTCCTACTTTCTTTGTCACATTTTCTGCAGCAGAAATGCGTTGGCCTGAGGTGATTATTGCAATAAAATTACAACAAGGTGAGGAGGTGAATTTTGAAGAGCTCGACTGGTCCACAAAGTGTGACATTCTGAGAAGCAATCCTGTGACAACGATGCGCATGTTTGATAAGCGTGTTGAAGCACTGTACAGAGATCTGATCATGTCTCCTGCACAACCCCTGGGCAAAGTTTTTGACTTCTTTTGGCGTCTCGAGTTTCAGCACAGAGGAAGTCCTCATATACATGGTCTTTTGTGGGTAGAAGGTGCACCTGTGTTTGAGAGAGACTCTGACAAAACTGTGTGTGACTTTGTGTCCAAACACATCTCTGCTCAGCTCCCTGACCCAAACAAACAGCCTGAACTGTACAAAAAGGTCAAAGAAGTGCAAATACACAGTAAGAACCACTCAAAGACATGTTTCAAAAGTGCAAGTTCTGGATGCCGATTTGGATTCCCAAAACCACCCTCCAGACAGACAATGATAACAAGACCTGTGGGTGATGATGAGGAGTCAGAGAGACTTAAGAGAGCCAAAGAGAAACTTGCACCACTGAATCAGCTGCTGAATGAGACACAAACTGAATCCATGAGTTTTCAACAGCTCCTGTCTGTCTGTGACTTAACCGCTGATGAGTATGAGAAACACATGAATGTGATGAGTCAGTCCAGCAACATCATTCTGAAGCGTGAGCCAAAAGACTGCTGGGTAAACACCTACAACCCTCACCTGCTCAAAGCTTGGGATGCAAACATTGACGTGCAGTTCATTCTCAGCTACTACAGTCTGATCCATTACATATGTACGTACATGTGTAAAAGTGAGAACTCTGTGAGCCAGTACCTGCAAACACTCATTCAGAACTCCGACAGAGAATGTGTCAATGAATGTGATGAAATGAAAGCGGTCATGCAGGCGTATTCCAAAAAGCGAGAAGTATCAGCACAAGAAGCTGTTGCCCGAGTGACTTCACTGAACATGAAAAAGAGTTCACGCAGTGTGGTTTTTGTCCCAACTGATGACAACCCAGTGAAAATGAGTCTGCCTGTGTCAAGCCTTGACAACACTACACCAGACAGCTTGAATGTGTGGATGACATCCTTAACAGACAAGTACAAATCCAGACCTGAATCACCAGAGTTTGAAGAGATGTGCATGGCTGATTTTGCGTCTACCTGCAGACTGGTGTATGGACAACAGACCAAGGGCAAGAAAGTGGTACCTTTGCTGAATGAACTAGGCTTCATACAGAGACGAGAAAGTGACAACGCTGCTGTCATCAGGTATCGCCGCATATCCAAAGAGAAATACCCTGAGCAGTTTTACGGCACATTGCTTAGACTGTATCTTCCATACAGATCAGACGATGAGCTGAAAAGACCATATTTTCCCACGTATGAGTCATTCTATGAGAGAGGTGTGGTTCAGCTGCCGTATTCTGACCGACCCCTGAGTGTGAAACTCATCGTGAAAAGAAACAGAGAGAGATATGAAAAAAACAGTGAGGAAATTGACTCTGCTCTCGAGGACTTTGAACAGAACAGAGGTGTGGTCGATGAATGGTGTAATTTGGCACCTGAATCTGAACTGGTGAGGTTGGAGTGTATCGATGAACTGGACGCCAGACAGTGTGAAAATGTCCAAGAGGATGTACCAGATTACAGCAGACAAGCAAATGCTGCTACAGAGGCCAGAGTCATGAGAGAGCCCCCTACAATCGATCCCACACGGTTACGACAAATGTATCAGAGTCTGAACCAGAAACAGGCATGTGTGTTCTATGCAGTGAGAGACTGGTGCATAAAACGAGTCTGTGGACCACAACCAGAGCAGTTTTTCTACTACATCAATGGTGGTGCTGGCACTGGAAAGTCACATCTCATTAAATGCATTCATTCAGAAGCATCAAAGATTCTGAGAACACTACCTAGACGTGCTGAGGAAGCTGACATCTCAAACCCGACTGTGCTGTTGACTGCTTTCACTGGAACTGCAGCCTTTAACATCTCTGGAACAACACTGCACTCTCTCCTCAAGCTGCCCAGAAGTTTGAAACCTCCTTTTCAAGGTCTTGGGAACCAACTTGATGAAATCAGGTGTGAGCTTTTAAACGCTGAAATCATCATCATTGATGAAATCTCCATGGTGTCGAAGCCTCTGTTTGCCTATGTGGATATGAGACTGAAACAGATTAAAGGTAGCCACAGACCCTTTGGAGGAATGTCAGTCATTGCTGTGGGAGACTTTTACCAGCTACCACCTGTGCGACAGTCCAAACCACTCTGTGTCTATGATCCAAGTGAGCTTGACCTCTGGAGAGACAACTTCCAGGTGATCACTTTAGATGAGATCATGCGACAGAAGGATGACAAAACTTTTGCCGAGATGCTGAACAGACTCCGTGTGAAAACAAGGTCAGATGAGCTTTCTGAAGCTGACAGAGCTCTGCTGTCACAGCGTGTCACTGAACCACAACTGTGTCCCTCTGATGTCCTGCACATTTTTGCTACAAACAAACAAGTCGCAGCACACAACTCTGCTACAATATCTCTGCTCCATTCTGATATCACCACCATTGATGCAGATGACTTGAAAAAAGACCCACACACTGGACACATGAAAAGACAAGGTGCACCATGTCATGGAAGCAGAAATGATCTACCTGACACCCTAGATGTTGCAGTAGGTGCTAGAGTCATGCTTACCAGAAACATAGATGTGTCTCAAGGATTGGTGAACGGATCATTTGCTACAGTAGGCCGTCTCATAAGCTCTGAAAACAACAGTTCTGCTCTTGTCACTATGCTTGGTCTCAGGATGGATGATGAAACAGCTGGCAGGAGCTATCGTACTCGAGGAGACAATCTTGTGTACATCGAGAGATCTGAGGAGGCTCTGCAACAGAAAGGAGTGGTACGCAGACAGTTTCCTGTGAAACTTGCCTTTGCATGCACGATACACAAGGTTCAAGGTATGACCAGAAAATCAACTGTTGTCTCTCTGAAGCACATTTTTGAGCCCGGCATGGCCTACGTAGCTATCAGTCGAGTGACCTCTCTCAGCGGACTGTACATGCTTGATTTGGATGAGAGTAAAATCCATGCTAACCCTGCAGTCACTGTATCTTTGGAGACCATGACGCAAGCTAACTTTGATCACCTCATGCCTTTTCTCCAGATCCAGCATTCTCTCAGCAGACAGGACACTGTGAGCATCATTCATCACAACACCGAAGGATTACCTGCTCATGTGAATGACATCAAAAGCCATCATGAACTGTGTCTTGCAGATGTTTTGTGTCTGACAGAAACTCACCTACAGGGCTCCTTTGTGGCAGACAGTCTCCAGTTTGAGGGCTACACCATGTTCAAACGCAACAGACACCTGTCCTACACTAACTTTCCACAGATGGCCAGTAAAGGAGGTGGTGGAGTCGCTGTTTATGTGAAAAACCATTTGCAGGTTGTGGAGAAACAGTACCTGAATAATGTGACTGACCTTGAGTTTGTGGCTTTGAAGGTTGAATCTCCTGTAAGTGCTCTGATTGCAGCTGTGTACAGACCTCCAGACTACAGTGTGCCATCATTCCTGTCCAATCTGGGAAGCCTTCTGGACTCACTTGAGATCATGGACTGTCATCCCATCATCGTCTGTGGCGACTTCAATGAGAATCTCTTTTCTAATGCAAGTAAGCCAATTTTGGATTTCTTTCAGTCCAAGGGATATGGTCAACTGATCACTGCTGCTACAACGGACAAGAACACACTGCTGGACCTGATCTTCATCTCACGACCTCAGCTATGTCTCTCCTCAGGTATCATGCAGACGTACTACAGTTACCACAACGCCACTTACTGTGTCATTTCATCCAACAGGTCATAGAGGAAACTGCTCTGAAGGAAAAGATAAACTACAGAGGGTTTGGCTGATGTTCTGCTTATATTTTCGGTGCCCATTTGGTGTTTGGTGATTGTAAGTTTTTGAATGCAAAAAAAAAAAAAATTATGGCGGAATTTTTTAGAAAGGCAACATTTTTCAGGTTGTACAATTTTCAGCTATTTGAATGTTAAAAGTTATGATATTTGGCCTTTGCACTTATGTCCAGACAAGTTAATCCATTTAACTCACAACTGCAGCAATGTCTTGCCTCAGGTATCCTGCAGACCTGCTATAGTAACCACAATCCCACTCACTGTGTCATTTCAGGTCATAAAGGGAAACTGCTCTGAAGGGAAAGACAAACCAGAGAAGTTGTGGCTAATGTTATGTCTATATTTTTATTAGTACAGATTGAAATTTTTTTAGCAATTTAAAATTTTCTGGTGCAAAAAATATTTTTATGGCTTAATTTCAACATTTTCAGGTAGTACAATTTTTAACTATTCAAATGTAATAAATGTTATTTTTTGGCCTGTGCATTTATCAAGTCCAGTCAAGTCAAGTTAATCCATTTAACTTGACTTGACTGGACATAGGGAGGGTGGGTGCGGATTGATAAATGCACAGGCCAAAACTCTCAGCTGCTGTGTACAATAATGTATACAGCAGCAAAAATTAAAAACCTCCATCAGAAAGTGTGTGTTCCCTAATGAACACACACTTTCTGATGTTCTGTGACCTACCAGCTGAAACCCCCCTTTTCTCCACCCAACTTTACACTACTCTCTTAGCATGGGTGGCTGTAAGTACACTAGGGCAAACATAAGATTCCTTTCCTTTGGGTATGTTTTGTTTCATTTTATTTTATTTTTTCAGTTGTATCCTACATCTTTGGCCTGACCTCCATTAGTGATGTCCAAACTAGCTCAATGTAAACTGAAAATATTATCAAACTGTCAACCAAAAGTAAACACATCACCTGTAGGTACAGTAGAGTAAAGCCAAGTTTCCTTTTGTTTGGGTTTTTTTTTTTCTTCTTCAGTTGTCTCTACCATCTTTGTCCTGACCATTAGTGCTGTCCTGACTAGCTCACTGTGAGCAGAAAAAAATTACCAAACCATCAACCAGAAGTAAACACATCACTTTGGACCACTCAAAGACACAGTCTACTTGCTGTTTAACCAAGTCTTTGGTCGGAGGTGAAGAAGAGATGACATCCTCCACACCATCCCCCTGCTGCTCTCAACAACCATCATCGCTGTGCTGGACAGACTGCAGCACCCACCAGGACCGTTCTCTCATGGACTACACAAACATGTGTTTTACCTGCTCGTGCTCCAGATGTCCTGAAGCAGCTCTCAAGGACCACCAGACACCAGGCTGAAGCAGAACTGATGCTGTAGTACCTGTCACTCACTTGGCTCGTTCCTGCTGAACCTCCAAGAGATAAACCCCTCTTCAAGAAAGTCTGAGGTAATGTCTTGGTGAACTTAGTTATCTTAGCTGCTGTATTAATGCTTGTGACGCTATTGTACAGCTCTGCTGATATCATCGTCTTTAACAGCAGTGTTTTCTCCCAGGTCTTCTTCAAGCCAGTTAAGAGAGGAAGAACAGCTTAGACACTCAGGCAGCTGAACGCACCAAAGGTGGACATCATGCAGCCACCCTGAGCCTTGAGCCTCTCTGTGTGAGGAAGCTTTGCTGCTGCAGACCTGGTGAAGTTGCTCTGGACAGAAATATTTTTTGCTCTGCTGCAGTGCTGAAGGTATTCATTGTAATGATGTGTGTATTTATTCAACGTGTTTAGTTTCACAGATTATCAACACAAATGTTTCTGTTTATTTCCTGTTTTGAACCAGCTACATTCTCCTACTTCAAGTCACTGTCTGTTCATCCACGGTGTAGCCAGTGCAGCTCAGCAGAGTCCTACTAATGGTGATCCTTCAAGTCCTGCAGCCCTATGAAGCAAGCTGCAGCAGATGTCAACACATTCAGATCATCAGTTTATCTTTACTGCAGCTTTAAACTTTCCCCGAGGTAACGGTGTATTTCCTTGCCCCATAACAAAAACCATGTTTGACCAACATAGAAAAGCACAGAATTACTGTTAGCACAGGATTACAGAGTTAAAGTGAAGGGGATTTTGTTTGTTTTTTTCAGACCTCTCCTCCTCCTGCCTCTGACTCCAGTGATGCTGTCAACTCGAACACTGATAACTGCACACAGCGATCCTACAACCACAGGTCAAAGGTCAAAACATTACCTCACTCTAAACCTTCACTCTGAACTGTACCGGGCTCTGCTTTTGGTTTTGAAAAAAAGTGCCCAGACAGAACATAGTACTCACTTGAGGAACTGACTGATTGTCTTCAGGACAGGACAACTATTACTCTTGTATTGTTTTGAATCCTGTTTTCTACATTAAGTGATCGGTTGTCGATATCTGTTAATATTTTAAGTTTCCTTTATGTTTCTTGGACTTTATTTGTTCTATTTTATTTGAGTATTTTCTTCCCCTTTTACTGTGTATCTGTCCTTATATCAAAAGATGACCAACACTGATGAAGGGAAAAAATACCAGTTACTTCAGTTGTTGCAGGCAGCTGAATTTCTCACTTTAATATGCTCACCATATCCCTCAAATTTACCTACAAGAGAAGTCGTGTTTTAGAAATAAATGATGTACTTTGGGTTTCAGCTGGTAGGTACACTGAAATTTTTCACGTGTGCTTAGTCTTGGGCTAATATTTTGGACAGCAGTGATCCCAGCACTACAGTGTGAAACAATCCCTGCTGAAGGTTGTCGTCACAATCCTCAAACACAGGGCTTGGTTAAACAAGCTGTGTGAAGGGATTTCATAGAGGAACAAAGTTTTTATGCTTATCCTTAAAATGTAATTCTCCATAGTAGAAAACTTTTTAAAAAGAAACTATCAACGTGAAGACAACCCAGCATTTCAGTAAGACAAGTAGTGTGAATGTTTGGATAAGAAAACACGAGTATCTAAAATGCTGACCAGATTGTCAGTCCACTACAATGAGCTGGTGACAGTATTAGCCTTGGTCTAACTACTGTGAAAAGCCTTTTGGGTGGTAAGGTGGACTAATACATGCTATAAAAAATACTTCAGTGCCATATTTAATTCATACGCCTTTCACCTTACTTTGCCTGTATATTTCCACAAGCCTGGATAACTTTGCACCTTTTGCATTTGCATTCTCTACCTTACCCTCCACATTATTTTAATTTTTAAATTTAGATTTAATTAAAAAGATATATTTTAATTTCTGTAAAAGACTTCTGTACTACACTGTACAGTAAACTGCTGAGTTATTTTTGCTGACCAGATTGTCAGTCCACTACAATGAGCTGATGACAGTATTAGCCTTGGTCTACTGTGAAAAGCCTTTTGGTGGTAAGGTGGACCAATACATAACATCAATTTATTTCAAGTTATCAAATCTACTTTTTAATCTGATCATTTTAGATTTTGTTTAATGTTTCAGTTTCACATCATTTAATTTCATTTATTATTATAATCATTTATTATTCTATAATTTTCTTTTTTTTCTACATGAGAGGGCCCACATTTCAATGCAGTTAGCTTTAAAAAATACTACAATGCCGTATTTAATTCATATGCCTTTCACCTTACTTTGCCTGTATATTTCCACAAGCCTGGATAACTTTGCAATACTTTGTAATACTGCTGACCGATTTTAGTAACTATTTTTTTTATAACTCTCAAGTCACCATTTTCATATTTTTTTTTTTATGTATAGGTATAAAGGTTTTTCAGATGTGCAAACTTAGTCTTAGGCTAATCTAAACCCTTAAAAACACACATAACAGTCCTGTATCAGACTTTGAAATCAAATTTCAAGGTCTGTTTTTAAAGCCCACAACACAGGACTTGGCTCAATGGGCCATGACAAATTTTATGAGCCAACTTTTGTTAAGGCTTAGTAATCCGAAAACACAAGAAAAGAGGTGAATGTGGGTACAGGGCTGCTGGAGTTTGAATCCAGTAAATAATGGGGTGTTAGCCTCAGTCTAACAACTGTGTGAAGAGCCTTTCATGATTGGGCTAAACAATTTTAGAAACAACTGAAAATGTGATACCTTTGTCCATCAACAATCACAGCAACTACAATCTTAAAACCTTAAGCTTAAGAGACAGATTGGTCACCCATGTAAAGATTTCTGCTTCCAAAACCTGTTCACAAACAAATTGTTTATAATTTGATTTAAGGCACTATGGAGCACTATTTCTTTATGTGTTTATGTTTTGATGTTTTTTTTTTATTTTTTTTTTATATTTTATGATTAATCATTTCATTGCTCACAAATTGTTAAAGAATTGACAAAAATATTTTTCTTTTTTTCTTTGTTTTGGTTTTACTTATGTAAAAACTCAATTTGAATTTTCAAGTTGATTCAAATTTTACATTAAAAATATTTGTGTAATATATTCATTTCTCATCTACATTCATTTCTACTTCTTCCAACATGAAGGCCTTTTCAGCCATCTTTAAAATTCTTTACCATATTTTCTGTAATGTTCAAGTTCAGTTCTTTAGCAATTTGAATATTCATACAGCTACTGGTTTACCTCTCCCAGTGTTTTTACATCCATACAGCTCATCTCTTTTTCATCATCTTCTTCTTCAGTTCTGTTACGGTTGAAACATTCATACAACTTCTACTTATAACACTTCACCCCTTTAACAGTTTTTTCATTTATACCTTCTCCATTTATTACTGGCAGTTTAGCATTGCTTTTTCAGCTTTCAGCACTCAGCATTTCCACGCATTTTCTGCAAGGAAATGCAATTTTTCTAGTTAAGTGGAAATGCTGATTAAGCATTTCCACTTATTGTTATTCTCCCGTTTCTTTATTATTATTATTATTATTAAACTTATTATTCTTCCGTCCCTTTTTTGGACCGCTTCTCCTCCTTCAAACTTTGTCCGATTTCAACCGTTCAAACTTTAAACTATTCCACTCCTTCAGGACATTATTGCTATTACTTTTCACTCTTCTACCCTTTATACTTTTTGATATTTTTAACTTTTTGTGCAAAAATTTTAACATTGAAGTCAATGGGGAAATCTTAAAATTCTACCTTTTACTCTTCCACCTTCAAAGCCTTATAACTTCAGCATACTTTCACCTAGAGACCTCATTTTTGCTTTAAAATGTTCACTCAATTGTCGACTATTAAAGTTGTACTCAGTTTTTTGATATCTTTACAGTTTTTCCACAATTTAGCTTTAAGCAACTTGTGGTTTTCAGCAAATTTCAAGCTTTATAATGGGTGTGTATTGGAGAGTTTAGAGTGATGATGTCATCAGCTAGAGTGCAGACCTCGTCTCTGATCGACAGAACCTCGCTCGAATATATCGCTCCCACGCCCACAAATCTCACTCCACGAGCCATAAAAAATACATCAAAATGGAGGTATATGTGTCCTGCTTCTCACAAAAGAGGTTTCAAATCATTAAATCTTACCCCTTGGCCAGCAGGTGACCAACTGTCCAAATAAGGCGGAAATCTCTCCCATTGACCTAATGTTATTTTTCTCCAAGAAAATCCGGATCATCGCTCAGGCTCAGACTTTTTTAACTCGCTGTTGTGGCCTCATTTTTCAAGTACAGACATGAAAAACACATCATTGTGTTCATGAAGGACGGAGGATTCGTACGATGTTCTTATTTTCATTCTGGGACTTAAGGAAATCACGCTATGTGAAGAAGTTTAGAGCCTCTAAATCCTCTGCAGTTCAGCTGCTTCTCATTCAAACAGTAGGTCAGTGATTTGCCTTTGATCTCACAGCTGTTTAGGATGCAGTCATTAACGAGACACACACACACACACACACACACACACACACACACACACACACATTCTTGTACTTGTTGCTTTATGAGGTCTACCTTGCAGTTCAGCTGCTTGTACACACAGTTAATATGTGTCTGCTTCGCCACCTATCTCCACCCACAAACTTTGAGCTACAGAAACCATTCTGGGCTTCTAAAATTCAGCTCATTGAAGATATTATGGGGTGTTTTGAGGATTGTGATAATAAATTGTATTAATGTGTTTAGCAGAGTCTTGTGTTCTCACAAGCTCCTTATCAGGAATAGATACAGAGGATGAGCGTCAGGGCCTACTTGGAGTCCTGTTTCCTTAGCTTCAAGCCTTCTTTCTCCTGCTATAGTTATGCATCCAAGGTCCCCATGGCAACCAATTTGTGCACCTGGAGACACACAGCTGACTGGAAAGCTGCTTCTAATGGCCATATGAGACACATGAAGCTAGGCTCAGCACACATAGCACTGGGGATGACACTTAAAACCCTTTACTAGAGAGCTTGAAAAAACTTCAGCCCCTATCTCCTCACATGACCTTTGACCTACAGAAACCATTCAGGGCTTTAAAATTTGAGCTCATTGAGGACATTAGGGGGTGTATTAAGGATTTATATACATTTAGATTTTTCACATTTTAAAGTCACTCAGTGATGATTTATCATTTAATTTTTCAAACTAATTTGAACTGATTCAAACTGATTCAAACCTTTCTAATACTTAAAAAATTAAACTTATGCCACTTCTCACCTTCCTGCCTTTTAAGGCAATTTCCTTCTTCATTCAAACTTTGTGCAATTTTAGACATTTTTCTAGCCTCTTTCAGCATGAATAAAATTTCTTTTTATAGAGCATATTCATACTATTTGTCCTTCAACCAATTAATCAATTATCCAACTTACATTTCTTTCACACCCCTTCAACAGCTTTAACATTTATACATTTCTCCATGTTTTATTAGCAGTTTAGCATTGCTTTTTCAGCTTTCAGCACTCAGCATTTCCACGCATTTTCTGCAAGGAAATGCAATTTTTCTAGTTAAGTGGAAATGCTGATTAAGCATTTCCACTTATTGTTATTCTCCCATTTCTTTATTATTAAACTTATTATTCTTCCGTCCCTTTTTTGGACCGCTTCTCCTCCTTCAAACTTTGTCCGATTTCAACCGTTCAAACTTTAAACTATTCCACTCCTTCAGGACATTATGGCTATTACTTTTCACTTTTCTACCCTTAATACTTTTTGATTTTTTTAACTTTTTGTGCAAAAATTTTAACATTGAAGTCAATGGGGAAATCTTCAACTTCTTCCTTTCATTCTTCCACCTTCTAGACCTTATAACTTCAGCATACTTTCACCTAGAGACCTCATTTTTGCTTTAAAATGTTCATTGTCTTGTCGACTATTGATGTTGTATTAACCTTTTTGTGCTATCTTTTACAGTTTTTCCACAATTTAGCTTTAAGCAAATTGTGGTTTTCAGCAAATT